CTGGACAATAATGTGAAAAACAACAACACTCATAATTCAGTGGTGTCATCGGTCACCGTTTCGCTGAAACATCAAACGAGCTAGCCTTTCAGGTGAATGAAAGCACACCCCCTCTTTTACATGCAGCTTTATAGAGGAGCTTCAGTGTGAAGTGTGTGAGCTTTAGCAGCATCTGAAGGCCTTTCCTTATCAGTAACAACTCAACCAAAACGACAGCGTTCTGAAAAAAGCACAACTCTGAACATCTGGCCGTCACTTTTATTTAAAGGAGCCTAACTTCTGATGTTCAAAGAGGTTTGACTCCAACGTTTTGTGGCATCAACTCACTTAACCCTCCCACTGTCTTTATGGGTGACCCCGCGAGGAAAGTTGAGCATTGAGCAGGACTGATGGTTTATCCCTTGGGTGTACGTGGCAGGGGTGAGGAGTGGGCACCACCTCACCCCTGCCACGTGGACCTCAACGGATAAACCATCAACCCTGCTCGATGGTCAACTTTCCTCGCGGGGTCACACCCATTAGGACAGTGGGAGGGTTAAAGCAATGACTGGAGGCTGTGAATGGATAATGAACAGGGCTGCACGATATTAGGAAAACCTGCGATATTCGACAACAATGATTAATTCTGCGATATTACTTGCAATAAATAAAAACTTAACCCAGGAACAAAAATAATCAAAAACAAAATTTTTTTTTAAATCTTCTAAAAGAGAAAAGCAAAAGATGTGAGGAAAGGAAAAAAGAAAATGAACATGAAAAGGCAATCCGTGGATCCCGGAAAAGCAGAATCAACAAAAAGAGCAGAACTAAGCTAACTCAGGTGTTCACCAACCATCTAAATGAAGTGCCGTCCGCCTCGGGGGCGGGCATCTGACCTATGAGAACCCACCTGATTGGCTAAATGGGTGAAGAGCTCCATTTGATGTGTTAAAAACACATCACGCTTCCGTTTGATTGACAGAATGTATTTTGTGTAGCAAACATTTGAGCTGACCATTCATTGCGATATTTATCTGTTCTTTGCGATATGCATATTGTGCATGCTGATATCGCGATAACGATATATTTACGATATATTGTGCAGCCCTAATGATGAATTATCTAGTGTTGATTTGCTGCATCTGCACACCACAGAGCTTTTTAGGCCAACTGGTGCCTAACAGGAAGGTGGGTGGGGGGTGGGGTAAATCAGTCTGAGGTTAATAGGGTCTGGGAGGGGGGGGGGGGGGGGGGGGTTGTAGTTCAAATAACGTGTGTTTTCTGTGTTTTTGATCCAGACTTTTTAAAAAAGGCAGTGTGTGCGACACCACGAGTGAAGTGTACAGCCTGCTCGTGTTGTTCCGGCGCGTTTGTGAGCAGCAGTGAACTCAGCGTGGGGCTAGTGTCTGGAGCGTGTAATTGAAACACCGTCCATTGCAGCGCTGCACGGTGACCCCGCTAATCTTCTTCTGACAAAGTGGCTTAGCTTCTATAGGGTCATATGGCACAGTGAGACAGCTTAATCACAGCACAGGCGGGCCAGCAGACCCCTCAGACGCTTCCCACAGTCAACAGGTCCCACTCAGAACCTCCACGAGACAAATGAGTAGGGGGTGGAACGTTAACCTCGACATGGTAACAACAGAATTACAAGACGTGTTATAAACACAACAAAAACTCCATTCTGCGAAATAATTATTAAACACCTATGATTGTAGAACACTCCGTAATTACTGGTAAGGACCATTCCAGGATCAGTGAAGCAGTAGAGAATAGAAACACACACACACACACACGCGCACACACACACACACACACACACACACACACACAAGATTAGCGTACACAAAAATATGACCTAGTGGAACTCCAATTCTTCTTCCACAGATCATTAAAAATAACACAAGCTCTGGTAACTTCAGTGGCTAAAGGATGGATTTTCCAAAAGTTCAGACTAAACTGTTCAAACAGAGTTGTTCTTGAAAGGCTGACAGCCGGCCTGCCACACTTAAAGTCCCATTAGTCATCATCACACTGGTGAATTTCATCTCTGCATCTGACGGTGCAGCGGTGGCTGTGCTCGGGAACTATCTGAAGAAGAAGAAAATATCATTTCTGTAGTGCCTCTCAAGATAAAAATCACGAGGCGCTTCACAAAAACAAAAAAATGTAAAAATATAAAAAAGAATTCAGGAAATGATTAAAAATATATTTAAAATGAGCAAAAAATAGACAATTGTGATTAAAAAAATGTAAAGAAAGAGAGAGAGTGAACAGGAAAGAGGGAAATCAGAGGATCCTGAGGAAGGTGGAATAGGTGGGGAGAGCAGAATAAAGAGAGAGAGGTGAAGAAGGTCATCCAAAAGCCAGCTTGAACAAGTGAGTCTTCAGCTGCTTTTTAAAGGAGACCACTGAGTCCACTGATCTCAGGCTCAGGGGGAGAGAGCTCCAGAGTCTGGGGGCCACAGCAGCAAATGATCTGTCACCTTTGGTCTTTAGCCTGGTGCTGCACAAACAGTAGGCTTTGGTCACTGGACCTCAGGGACCTGCTGGGGGTGTAGGGACTAAGAAGATCACCAATGTAAGATGGTGCTTGTCCATATAAAATTTGGTGGTTTAACCCCCCCCCCCCCCCCCCCCACCCCCACCCCAATCCAACTCTTAAAGCAGAGTGTCAAGCTGGGAGGCATTGGGTCCCATTTTTAAAGCCTTTGGTATGCCCCAACCGGGATTGGGTCGGTGGTCAAAGTGGGTCAAGGTGAAGCCTGGGCGATTGGAGGAATGTACTGACCAACAACAGGCAGCGCTAGGGCTGGGTGATTTGGCCTAAAATCAATATAATACATTTTATTTCAACAGCGCCTTTCTAAACACTCAAGGACACTTTACAGACAGAAATAAATACACAACAATAAAAGACGGAACAGGTGGGTTTTGAGTCTGGTTTTAAAGAGAGTGAGGAATCACAATATATTAAGGAGTTCACCTCGATAACGATAAATGAAGCTAACTACCCACAGAAACAAAAGTTGCCCACTAGATGGGGCTGTCACGTGTATTACGTTGAGACACATTTTAACGTGACTCAAAGTGGTACAGCTTCTTAAAGGGACATGAACGTTGCCAACCTACACACATCTTTTTATCTTTATTATCAAATTTATTGACGTGGGAAAAATGATCTCGATAAGTCAGAAATTTCGATAACGATACATTTTTGATTCACTGCCCAGCCCTAGGCAGCGCCCTTCACCAGTCGCTGGTTTTATAACGCAGATGCAACATTACACACTTCAAGGCCTAATCAGCACTTTTTGCATCACTAATATAAATATTATTTCAGTGATCATGCCAGTCACGGATAAAACCATAACTTTAGACACAGTAGCTGCTTTTGTCAAACTGGAAATTGTAACTCACTGTTCAAGTTTCATTGACAGAATGGAGCCATTTTGAACAAAAACTGTGTTTTTACATCCACAGGAGTCTAACAAAATAGTCTACAAGTCTTACATCTACAGCTGAAAATTTCCTTCAGATGTTTTCCTTTCTCACCGTAACTAGGAATGTCCTGTTCCGATATCAATATCGAAAGTTATTTGATATCGGCCCAAAAACACTGTATCGGATTATATCAGACTTCAGAAAAAATCTCCGATATAAGCAGTCCATAAAGGTTCACATTTTTCAACGTATGGTTAAAAAACGTGTCATTTTTTTCATTCTAACAGTTTTTTGCTTCTGTTCTCCAATTGAGTAATATCACTTAATCAAGCCTTTCATACATTCCACACTACAATATGGGCAAAAGTATGTATGACTTGTGGCGATATCGGTATCGGTCAATACTGAAGGCTGCAATATCGGTATCGGAAGTGAAAAAGTTGTATCGGGACATCCCTAACCATAACCTCATCACCATCCTCAAATTAGCTTCAAATTTTGATCATCATCTTACTTGATCTAATAGGTGATGGGTTCCCCCCTCCCTGCTTATAGGCAGAATTTTCTGCTAATGGCTGATGGGTCAAAAGAGCCACCCTTTATTTGTCATGTTCCCGAGCCGAGGTGCGTGACTCCCTTTCCATCTAACCACATCCGAGCTGATTATCCACAGGTGAGGAGCGGAGGGGGCTGCAGCTGCAGAAGATTCCCAATCAGGAACTCGGGTGTAAAAGGAGGATGGAGACACCTCACTACTCCGGATGATTGCTCCTGTTTAGGTAGCTCCAGCCACTCGTACATGCTCTTGTTTGTTCCCTTTGACTCGTTTTGGACTACTCGGTTTTTGAACTCGGACTGCATTTGGATTACGCTTTTTGAATTACCCCCTCATCTGGTGTTTGTTTGCCTTCCTGCAGGATCTCCACACAACCAGCCTCACCCTCGCTGTTTGAACTCTGGATTACATGCACCACGTCCCATCTTCCTTCATTATTCCTGTCTGGTCCCTCTCTGCTACCTCACCCATCCCGGATCGGTCACCCTCTGCCCCACGCTCACCTCGGCTTCCTCGCCTCCCTCGTTCCCCACGAGCGCTTTATGGACAAGAGCTATACAGGACTTCCCTGTGCTTTTTTTGTTCTCGTTTTTCAAATAAAGAACTTTTCTTTAAACTCTACCAGCTCGACGAGTTTGATCCTGCATGTCTTGGGTTAGACACTTACCTCGAGTCATGACATTATTCTCACATACGTAGCTTAAACCAATTGTGGCTCAGTATACCGTTGATTGACGCATAAATAGCAAAGGACTCCAAATGGTCTGCTTCCACAAGCTGATTAAGAACTACTGTGATTGGTGGATTGCTGCATGTCCACAAACTGTCTAAACATCACCTGTGCGAAGACATTTCCCATTGTTAGTATTGGTTGGAACAATCAGAAAGACGACCCCTGGCCCAGCAAAATAAATGGCTGACTCTATATTTCTGAGTTTAAAATCAAAACAATATACTTGAACTTCTGCTAGAGAGCAAATCTAGCATCATGAAGTGGGTTACAGTTAAGACCGTCTCTTACCTTTCCTCTGCAGAAAGAGCCGGAGTAGAGGGTTCGCTGTGGAGATTGCCTTGTGGTAGTTGTCATCATTGTTGATGGGCAGCAGGTCCCCGTGAACATCAGCGTAGGCCACCAACAACTCCACATTGGGGATGCGATGTACGTGCTGCAGGAGCCCATAGAACTCATCGAAGCGACCTGGTTTCGACCGGTCCAGCGAGAACCGACGAAACTCAGCACCAAACTGGGACGGGGCAGACAGGTATTAGGACGCGAGAATAAATATGCAAAAAGACATCAAAAAGGTTAGAACTGGAGCTGCTGGGATGTAGAAAAAATGACGTGGAAGGAGTAATGAGTATAAAACCGTAATGAGTCTGGCTTCCACATGTAAAAGCTAACATAACACATTATTAAACACTGCGACTAGACAGCATGTGTTTGTAGGGATGCACCGATATAATAATGGTATCGGCACGATACCGATACCAATACCAGTATTGGTAAAAGTTAACCGATACCAATGCAGTTGCTTGAAAATGGCTTGACTGTAACTTGTCATTTCTGTTCACCTAATATTTTAGTTTTGTGATCATTTCTATTCATATATTTTACTTTTTATCTACCTCACAGTCTTTTCCTGTTGAAAGCAGAGAAGAAAATAAAATCTGTATTCCAAATCATTGCATTTTTTTGTGTGGTAGAAGTATCGGTATTGGTAATCGGTATCGGAGAGTACTCAGATCCAAGTATCAGTATTGTATCGGCCTGGGAAAAAGTGGAATCGTTGCATCCCTATGGGTTTGTGGACGCAATAAATTCAAGAGGTGAATAAGACCGTCTTATCAACAGGCCTTACAGGATGTTTGGTTCTGTCATCAGACAAAACAAGGTGTTGTCAGCTAGGGATGTCCCGATACAACTTTTTCAGTTCCGATACGATACCGATATTGCAGCCTTCAGTACTGACCGATACCGATATCAATCTGATACGATATCAGCACAAATCATACATACTTTTACCTATTTCGTAGTGTGGAATGGATGAAAGGCTTGATGAAGTGATTCAATCGGAGAACAAGAGCCAATGACAGTAAGTATGAAAAAAATGACAATTTTTTCTTAACCATTGGTTGCAAATATGTGAAGCTTAATGGACTGCTTATATAAGAGATTTTTGATGCTGTCTGATATAATCCCATACTCTGTTTGTTGGCCAACATCCAATTACTTCAGATATCGATATCGGAATGGAACATCCCTATTTTCAGCTCAAATGCATCCCCTAATAAACGCTGCAGGTTAGTAGATAAATGGTCTCAGATGCCTGATCTTCTGGCAGCTGTGTAGCTGACACGCACACACACACACACACACACACACACACACACACACACACACACACACACCAATGCCTCATTGCTGATGTTGACAGGAAGTAGTGGTTGTTGTGGTTACCGTTGCCAAGCACTGACAATGAACAATCTCTAATTCACTGGTCACTAGTTACTCATCAGAGCACAGATATGTACACAACACAGGTTTGGAGGTAAAAAGGTGAGTCCTAAATATGAGGAAAGGGAACTATTTAGTTCCTCTTCACATCTCAGTTTGGAAAACACACTTCTATAACTTTGTGATGAGGCTGAGAGGCATGTTAACCCAATAGAAGTTATAAAAATTAAACTAGTACTATCATAACAACAAACAGTAACTACGATACTTATGCTGTGGACTAGACACGGCTAGCTGGCCGCGGAAGGAGCCAGGCTACCACCTGAAGCCGAATGACACCTGCACACCAGGAACAAATAGTTCCATGACCAGCAGGTAGCGACACCTTCGTGGAGGCTTTAATGGTCATTAACGATTAAAAATCCGTTACATAAACGGGAGGTTGGGGAAACGTCGGTAACCGAATAGAGGGAGCGGCGGAGGAAGTGACAGGTGACACTGGCCCGACCAGCTGACACGAACCTCCACCTTCAAACTTACAGAATAAAACTAACTAAATGTTCCTGCGTCACACTGCGCTCAAAAGTTACCGCCGCTTAGAGAGGGTCCGAATCAGCGCAGTTTATACGTGCCATTAGCGCGCGACCATAGCCAGCCGAGCCACTTAGCAGGCTAAATTAGCTAGAGTAATCGCCAGAGTTAGCGCGTAAAACTGAGAAAAACGTCCCGTCTCACCTTGCTCTTCACCTCCACGGCACTCAGAGAACGGCTGCTCGGCACTCGGTGGGTCTTGTTCATGTTTCGGTAGCAGCGGGACCGCCGCCAAGGCACTCATAAACACACACCGCCCTGCTGCAGTTACCGTAACACCGAAAAGAGTGGTATTTTTCCAGGAACACAAACTGTCCCGCCACGTCTCGGCGTCCACCGGTCGCTGAAGTCGCTCCCAAAAACGTTGCGACGGCTGTCAAGCAGCCTGTCTCAGTCTGTGAACTTCTCTCCTCTCATTTTTGCAACTCTGGCTCCGACGCCGCTCAGTTGGTGCCTCTCGGTGTGTGTGTCCGCCACCCGCCCCCGAACGGACCGTCTGCCTCTTCAGAAGCTGAAAGACCCGGACGCTTCAAAATAAAAGCCTCTGTGACTCCGCTGGCTTCAAAATAAGGTTCGTTTTTATAATCGCATTACAAAAACCTGAAAGGGTTTGGTAATCTTAATCCAAGCAACAAGATTAATACTAGATGGACAATAAATCACATAAAAATATTATGTTCTCTCTCTCTCTCTCTCTCTCTCTCTCTCTCTCTCTCTCTCTCTCTCTCTCTCTCTCTCTCTCTCTCTCTCTCTCTCTCTCTCTCTCTCTATAAGAAGTTATAGATAAAAGTATGTATGATTTGTGCTGATATCGTATCAGATTGATATCGGTGTCGGTCAGTACTGAAGGCTGCAATATCGGTATATATACATACATACATATATATATATATATATATATATATATATATATATATATATATATATATATATATATAAAATTTGAGTCCAGTTTTACAGCTTAAAAATAAAGTTAAATGTATTCAAAGCACAGTCATTATTCCTAATTGCACAGAGTGCAATAAATGAAAGAATAAATCTGTTTAGACAAACACATTTTTCATGATGTCCTGATTTGCAGCAAACGTGCCTTGTAATCAGGTTTAATGTATTTATACTATTAACAAGTTCAATAAGTTTGAAGAAAGCATTAACCACGTTGACTTTTTATTCTAACACTACAGCGCCACCCCCTGGCCACAAAGTGAGGTCACTGCAGAAACAGGCATGTTTTACCAACAGTGTGAAGACCTTATAACACTAGTTTATAATTTTATACAGATTACATTAAATCAAATCTAAAATAAGAAAATATGTCATTAATTTCTAATGTCTTTGTAAACTAATTTGTCATTTGACATGTGGAAAGTCTCTTATAATATGTAATAACATGGAAAGTGAACCTAGCAGAAACTAGTGTATTTATATATGAAATCACCCTCATCACTGCATCCAGTAAATTAAATGTCGTGGTCTTTTTTTCCAGATTTAATCTAAAACTGCATTTCTGGTTTGGAAGGATGCGGCTCCCGGGTGAAATGAGGATTCCTCTAACTGTTTCTGCAGCTCTGTTCATGAAATATAATGTGGATTAGGCCTTTGTTTTCCTTTTTCCTTCAAAGTGAAACAGTGACAAATTAAAAATGAACTAATCCCAGAAATAAACTGAGACATGTCAGATAGTGATGCCAGAGCTCGGCTCTTTCACCGCCTCCTCCAGCTCATAAAGCGCTCCTAATGAGCAGAAGGTCAGCTCATCCTTTTGTTGTCGTTTCTGGGTTTGCAGCAGGGCGGTTCTAACTGCAGGAGGCGCTCATGGTGGGATCTCCAACCATCTCTCCCCCACCCAAACCTCCTTCCCACCTCCCCCTCCCCAGTCACCCAGCTCTGCAGAAGAGGCCTCTTGTCTCCCCCACAGCCTGCAGGGCCTTTCTTTAGCCTCCCCTCCTTTTGTCTCCCCCTCTGTCTCCCCCTCTCTGCTGGTGTTATTGTCCCAGTTTTGGTGACACCCAGATCTACATGACCATCGAACCACGTGTTATGTTGAGAAGAAGCGACGTACAGTTGAACCCACAAACAACAACCACAAATAAAAAAGATTCATCTGTAGCCTCTCCACCTTCTCTTCCAGCGGCTTTCCCAGAGTGGGGCGCTGTGATCAGCCCCATCAGTGTAATCAACCTGCATGCCCCTCCTCTCATCACCTTCCTGCCTCTGGCCTCCCTTCATCATCTCCGCTCACATGGATGTGGGCAGCAGGTCAGGTGGGGGAAAAGTTGACGTTCCTTCCTCTGAACTATGAGGGTCTTTCTTTAACTTCTTTGTCTCTGGTGGCACACCAAGGCCCCTCTCCCTCTTGGATAGGGGGTGCTGTTCTCTGTGCACCGTCTATTTCTGCCTCCTCTCTTCTAAAATCTCCCTTGTGTTCTCTAGCTCCCATTTTCCTCCCCTCCCATAGCTCCTTCCCCCCACTCTTTTCCTCCCTCTCCCTCTACCCCCCCCCCCCCCCCCCCCCCAAGGCTGTTAAATGCTCCTTCTGCACACAGCACTGCAGATGAGGCCTCTGCCTCCCCCACAGTCTGCCAGGCCTCTCTCTCTCTCTCTCTCTCCTTCCTTCTGACTCCCCCATGTCTCCTTCCCACCTCTCCACCCTCTCACTCCTTAGAGCAGCATAGCAACACTGGCTAGTCAGGCAAGGGGGTCTTTCCTCCCTCTTGCTCCTGGCTAATTCCCTCCATTTTATGTGCATTGTCCCAGAGTACCACACGATGAGATTTTAATGAAGACATGAGAGGTGGATGAGCGTCTGAGTTCTCTGAAGGAACCTGGGTAATGGGCAAAAGGGAGATGCTACATCAAACTGGTGATTGAGGATTTGTTTGGGTTCAAAGCTAATAAGTGGTTCTGTTTTTGTAGATGTAGGCACAATGAGATTAGCTGCCTAGTCATACTTTGGATGGCCTCCTATCCGTGTCTAATCCAGTCAGAATAAACTTTCATTCTCAGTTGAGCCTAAACCCGGGGTTTGTTTTGCCCTCATGAAACACCCTTTAATGCCATAGACATGAATACGCAGATGCCCCATTGGGCGCTGGAGAGCGTTACAGCGTCGCCGCCTTATTAGATGGGTCACCTCTCTCTCCAAAGTCAAACCAGAGCGATCAACTGTGGCCGTTTCTGTGGGTTGTAGCCACCAGCGTACTGTAGAAAACTAGGGATGGAACAAATGGACAATGGAACCCGTTTTTGGAAGGAGCTGTTCTTGAGGAAGAAGAAAATAAAAGATCAACATTTTGCTTTACTCCATTTCCACATGTCAGAAAGTCTGTCTTTTCCTATCACCTGTAGCGGATGGGGTTCTATAGGAGAAGCGTTGGCCCCACACACAACAGATCGGTATCAGTTATCGGTCCAATAAATAGAACTGGGCCGATATTAACAACCAATAGTTTTTCCATCTTGTTTCCATTTATCTGTTTCAGAGGGTGAGGGGGGTGATGTGTAATAGTTTAGTCATGTGACAGTGGTTGTAATCATCCCAGAAGCGTAAATGTGTGTGTACATAACACAGATTCAGCTTGAATCATTTTCCTTCTTTACAAAATCAGCTGATTTTAAAAGCATTAATGTCAGTTATTGGCCAGAACAGTGATCTTTATATCGGCCCAAATCTTTTATTATCGGTGCATCACTATAAAAACAGATCACGCTGATGCCGGTGGCCGCCCAGCTCCCGTCAACAGGGCATCTACGTATACACGTCCATGTTTAATGACACCACCACAAGAACAGGGGCTTCGTCTTCGACTTTCAAGAAACTCCTGAAGACCCTGCTCTTCCGAGAGCATCTTCTAAACTAGTACCCTCCCTGCAACCCCCCCCCCCCCCCACTGTCCACTCAAGGGCAACATGCAGATTATAACCTGTAAGTCGCTTTGGACAAAAGCGTCTGCTAAATACATAAACATAAAGAAGTGCTTCCCAACCTCCTGGACCCCCTTGCCTGGGTCCATGACAAGCGAGGACCTCCAACACTATACTACAAACTTTATTGTGACAAAGTTGTGACTCTTGGACAAGGTTTTAATTACTCTACTGGATGTGTTATTGGGATTTTAAAAATGCCATTTTTAATATAGTCTTGGTAACCTCACAGCTTCAGCACAGGCACAATTCTGGGGACCCCGGGGGGGGGGGGGGGGGGGGGGGGTTACGGACCCCAGATGAACCTTAAGCATTTTGTTAAGGACAAAAAATAAGTTTACCAAGCAGGTGTTTTGAATTTGCATGATGTTGTCGATCTGGAACACAGAAGTGATTTAAACGAAGAAAGTAACACTGGAGTCAGCCAATTCATGCTTCTTGATTTTTAAAATAATTTTGACAAAAAAAAAATAGTGGTGGTTTTTTTGTCTTTGTGCAAGTAAACAATCCTTTCTGCAATAGAAAAAAAGCAGCACCACACTTGCATCATCTTGTACTTATCCCAAAGCGTCAATATGTGATCATCATCTTCACGTCACATTCTAGTTGTTATGAGCCACAAGCAATTTTTTATACTTGATCTGTCTGGAAAATAAACTGTAATTGGTAATCCCCCCCCCAAAAAACCCACACACATTTACAGGTATTCCAGAATTTCACATCAACAGACAAATACACCTAAAACCATGGACGTAATTTTTTTTTTGGGGGGGGGGCATGTCCCCCCCCCCCCCCATTTTTTCCAAAGTTAATTTTGACCCCTGCACTTTTTACCATCCAAAAACAAGATTACCTATATTAAACTGACACTGGTTGAGCTCTAGGACCGAGCAGAAAACAACCATTTGTGTTGAAGCGCGTTTCCCATTAGAGAATACTGGAAAAGTGTGAAAGATATACCTAAAAACATGCAAACGTGAAAGGTGTTCGGGTTAAACTGCACAAAACGGTTTTCAATCCAGAGTTTAATTTGAACCGAGACAACTGGCACAGTTACTGGTTCTGTGAGTCACAATCACAGCACTTTATTTCATAAATGCTCAGGTGAAAAAGGAAAACGTAAAACAAATGCACAGAGGACACACTGAATACAAGCCTTATCATTTCTGGGAAAAAAACCAACAAAAAGTTGTGTTGTTAAAGGACGCCGGTAAGCTGGTGACTAATCCGTCTCATGGATCTAGAAAACATCGAGCTGAAATGATGAGGTCAGAAAACAAGTGCAGTCAAAGCTGAGGACCAATAGTTGTAAAAAGTAGACGAGTTGCTGTTGAGTCAGTGGGGAAAAAACAAGGTGTCGATGTCATTTACACACAGAAATTATAAAAGTTAAGTTAAATTAGTCAATAATAAAGAAAAAATATTTTATATATATTTATATATAGATATTTGGCAAAACAAGAGAAAAGTATTTGTCAAAATTAAACAGCACAAAGCAACACCTACTGCTAAGCATACCAATGGGGAACATATGAAGCTACCTTACATCCAGGTAATAGGAACTATTTAGGGTACATGTACATCAACATCTGTCCAAACGTGTTTAAAAGACTGTACAAATTTACACTACCAAGCTTAATATTTCTAAATGGAAAATGGAATATCGGGTCAGTTTAAAAGGGCTTATGTCAATATTTTAGGCTCATTGACCAGCCCGGGGGCTCAATCAATGCTAATGACCCTTTATCACCGTGTAATAAAGAATATAGAAGGCAGAAATCGTTTTGCCCCTTTGTGTTGGGTCTTTGCACCTCCCTGACGCGTTTAGCTGCTCGCCGAGTCCTGCTCTTGAATCGTTTAATGGCTTGTTTTGACTTGCCCCCCCCCCCCCCCCCCCCCCCCCCCCCCGGCTTAATGTTTCTTCAGTAAATGAGGCAGACTTACTGGTGTGAAGAACATCCCAAATGCCTTATTTTTGACTGTCATCAGTCAGACTTGCTGTTTTCCCAGCTGGCCCCCGTCCCTCCCACTTCTTGCGGATGACGGAACAAACTTGGGAATGATGATGGGTAGAGAGTCCCTTCCTTTAGCAGCTGGAATTCCTGAGCCGTCTGTGGCTCTAAAGCCATTTTCTACAGGTTCTTCGTCATCATCATCATCGTCATCATCATCATCATCATCGTCGTCGTCGTCATCATCGTCAGACATGTCATCCAGATCTGAAGGTATCTTCATGTCCGTTCTTGGGTTCAGGTTTTCCTCGGCTTCAGGAGGCTGCTGGTTGCCATAGAGATGGACCTCTTTCACTGGCTCCTTGTTAACCATCTGCTGCTCTTCCTCATCACTGTCAGAGTTGATGGCGATGGGCTCAGAAAGGTCCAGAGGCGTTTTCTGTGCTAAGGTGCTGCTGATTGTCCTGGTTTGATCTCCGCTGACACCGATGGTGTTTGGAGCAGACAGCGTTCCTCTGGTGCCTTCCACAATCCCAGATATCTTGACCTGCTGTAGACTTGGTCCACCATTAGCAGCCAAAAGGTCCCTGTGTCTTTGAAGAGCCTGCTCCGATACTCCCAGTCGATTCTGTGATGTCCGGCTTTTGCCGTGCCTGCACTCGTACACTCCGTCAGTGACCAAAGCCAGGCCATGGTTCAGTTTGCTGAGCTCATGCATACTGAATCCCAACAGCACGCTAGCGCGCTGGGTTTCACATTCCTCTACGCATCTTCTCCGTGTGGAGACAAAGTGGTTGGAGATGTCAGACTTCCACAGCCAGAGACTGGATGCCAGCTTCTCCACTTCTCGTTGTCTCGGATATGGAGCTTGATTAAAATACTGTGTCAGAAAAGCCTTCCTGGACTCGTACGACTGGTTTTCCTGGCCTTTGGGGTCAAGGGCCAGTACCACTGGTTCATCTGGATTTTCTTCAAACGTGGAGGAACCGTTCATGTCCCGTGGATGGGCCCTTTCACCTGGAGGTCTTCTTCGCTTTGGTGCATTGGTGTCAGAGCTATCACCACTGGGCCGTTTCAGGACACTGCTCTGAGGCTGGCTGACCCGTGAAGAAGGAGCTGCCCGGGTGTCCTGTCCATTCTGAGACTTCCCAACACCCCGACAGTGTACCAAGTGCAGAGTTATGGTGGAGGCGGTCATGTTACTTGTGTAAACCCCCAAGCAGTGAATACACTTGTAGGTCAGTTTCTTTTCCACAGGGTGGACTGTCTGAATGACCTGGTGCCTCTCCTTCAGATGATGAGCCAGCGAGTCTGAGATAGGACCTTTGAGGATGGAGAAACAAAGAGGACATAGTGTTTTCCCTACATCTCTCTTGTAGGGCACCGAGGCTTGTGGAGGACTTTTGACTGGAGTACTTTCATGGAGCCCAGAAGGCGTTTTGGGTGGCTGCTGAGGTATCAACCGCTTGCCTGACATTAAAGACGCAGACAGTGCCGATGACACAGAGGTGGTGCTGTTCTGAGCGTGAAATGCCACAGACTCCTCAGGGGCGTCTTTCATGTTGTACGTAGTGACAATCAACTGGACATTTTTGGGATTGCCCTGCTGCAGGGTGAGGTCAAAGGTCAAGGGAGAGTCTGTGCGAGGGCCAACCTTCTCATCTGGGTGCGACAAACGCATGTGGGCCACCATCTTCTCAACGTCATTGAAAGTCGCCCGGCAATACGAGCAGGAGAGGCCGTGGATCAACATGTGGTTCAACAGAGTGTCACTGGGGAGATAGCGGTTGCAGTAGAGACATTTGCTGGTGAAGTTATGAATCTTCATGATGTAGTTGGCCACAGCAGGCACCTTCTCTGCTTTGTGCTCTTTCTCAAAATGAGAACTGTAAACATTTTCGGGGAAGAGCTCGTTGCAAATAGTGCAGATTTTCCACTTCTGAGTGTAGGATGTGCCGAGGACAGACGAGCCGCCTTTCTTAGCGGTGACCGAGGCTACGGTGGTGGCAGCAGCTTGAACGCGTGAGCCTAGAGGGTTGGATTTGAGAGAGGAAGAAGCACCAGCGATAAGCGGGCTTCGCAGGTTACCAACAGAAACGAGCTGCTTTGCTGCGTGTGACTGCTGTGGCACAGATACCTGGGCGTTACCAGGCAGAGAAGCCCTTACCTGGTGGTTAACCAGAGAGAATGGCTGAGTAACTCCCGGCTTTAATCCGATTGCCTCGTGTTTTATTCCAGACAGAAGGCTATGAGCATTAAAGACCGTTTTTGATCCAACAATAGCTCGACCCAGCTGATGTGAGACAGGAGACCTTGTAGTGGCCATTACTGCACCTTTCGGGCCCATTCCAATGATGGTCTTGTCTCCTTGAGCTTTGGGAGGGAACATGATAATTGGTTTAGCTCGAGGGACAATCACACTGGTGTGCCCAATCATTGCAGTGACCTGGTAGCCAATCCTCTCGTGGTCCTCGATGACGTGCTGAACGAGCGCCTCGTAAGTCCGAGGAACAAAGAGACACTTCTTGCAGTGAATCTGGTTGCTGAAAACATTGTTTGTATTATTAGTACTCTCAGAGTTTCCTGCCACACCACCATTCTGGACATTTGTTTTCTCGCCTGGTTTGACGATATAGGGATGAGCTACTTGCTGAAAGTGTTCCCGGTAGATATGCTTTCGCACTACATTGTACATAGGGTCCCTGTAGGTGCACTTTTTGCAGTAATACACCGCCTGTTCCACTCCATCTCCGGTTCTCTTCAGCAAACCGTCCTTCATCGTGACGCCGCCAGCCCCTGCCGCCATACCAGCGGGGCCCTGCCGCACAGCGCTATTGGGCATGTGGAAAAGTTTGATGTGCATTTCCAGAGTCTTCTTGTTGCCATTGAAAGTGCAGTAAGGGCAATTGAGCAGAATATTGTTCTCAAAGTCCTCGCTGTGTACATTGCGGAAGTGGCTCTTGTAAGCTGAGAAATATTTGGATGAAAAGAGGCAGCCGGAGCAGCAGAAAGGCTTTGATCTGTAGTCCTGGGGACAGAACAGACGGACACGAAAACATTCGATTAGACTTTCCACTAAAAGACTCAAAAACATCAGCGTTCATCTGCATGTGTCCCACACCTGGACTTTGGTATGCGACGGCTCCCACATGCACACATCTTGCCAGCTTGTGTGCTTAATGTACACCTCAGGGGGGGTAAAAGCTTTGTAATCCTGCAAATAAAAAGATAAACACAGGCCCAAGATGAAACAAGGTTAAAATCACTTAAAAAGAGCAAGTCACCCCCAAATCAACATTTCTTTTCCTGATAAACTACATAAATGTGTGTCTAATCGTGCTGCAGACACGTGTCGTCAATAGTTTTGTACTTTAGTGCATTTTAGTTGAAATTGTAATTTTCTGCCTAAAACTGTCAGTGTTGTGTCGTTGTCAGGTAAAAACTCTGCACTGCATTTGAATTTAAATCTGCCATTGTTATTGGCTAAGAGGTACCCTAGAACGTTAGCTGATACTATATGATGTCACAATGTTGTTGTGAGCCTGTGTGTGTGTGTGTATTTAATAGCGGCTCCGCCCTCTCGGTCTGCTTGGCAACAGCATTTGTTGCATTTTTTCAAACAGAAAGTGGGAGTGGAGTTAAGGTTGGTTTATGCTTGACGGGTCCGCGAGGTTCGCACAGCTCCGTGCGGAAAAGTTGCGTCATTTTAACTAACACGCCCCTCCACCGCGCCTTCGCACAGCTCAAACTTTCCGCACCGTGCACCTAGGAAATTTTCTAACCAAGCGGATGGTCGAACACGGAAAAACATGGCGGACCGGTAAGAACTAGTATGGCAGAGGTTCGTAAATACAGACATTTGTATGATTCAGCTCTCAGAGATCACCGTGATCAACATGTTGTTAATAATTCTTGGAGAGAAATAGCTCGCACTGTCGGAAAAGACGAGGACGCTGTTAAAAATGCTGGAATGCCATGTTGTAAACAGTCATTTCTACTTCTACTATGGTGTAGTGTTGGATGCATGCCGTAGAGCTCCACGCTGCCCCCTACAGTTTAGGAGAATATTGGCTCACCGCAGAGACAAGCTGCATGAACCATAAACGTTGTGAAGCGCGTTCCATCCGCGAGCCGCATCACCGCGCGGAAAGTAAACGCGTCAAGCATGAACTAAGCTTCATACTCTGGTAGAGGGTGACTTGCTCTTTAAATACATTATTTGCAAAGTCAAGTCAGTTGCAGCTAAGAAAATGTTGACTTTACACGATAATGGAGAAATTCATGTTGTCAAATGTTCTTTAAAGCAAGAATGAAGATCAGCCACAGAAAACAATCAGGGCAGAAAAAGCCAGTTTCTTCTACAACACAGGGAAATCTAGCATTCATAGCCCCGCCCACTGCAGAGTGCACTTTGGCTAGTAGAAGCTAACCATTAGCAACTCCACAACATGGCGGAACACGATTGGGCCCCTGTTATTAGTGGAGATAAAACATCAATGCTGATGTTTTACAGTATTGAGATTTTTAACAGGCAGCGGAAAAGTCGTGCTGCTGTTTGCCCGCCACAGGCGAGGTGTTCGCACATCAAGAATATTAATGAGAAAGACTTGAAATTGTGAAGTTTTCCACCCGTGTTCCTCCGACAAACTCACACCCGCTGAAACAGAAGCACCGGAGCTTATTTAAAAACAGAAGCATTCGGTCACACTAGAGACCGCTGCAGATTTTATGTTTCAGGTAAACATGGATGTAAATATGGATGTGTGACCACGCATTTGCTGCAGTCACCCTGCAGTACTAGGGAACCTTTCCATCAAACAGAGTAGAAAAGCCCCTTATGGTCCCTCAGTTGGGAACCTTTCGGTGTCGATAATCTCTCATGCAGTGAAATTTTAAGCCTAAAAGGTGAAATTACTGCCATGTAAAATTCTAAAAGGCAAACAAAGCCATGCTCGGTCATTAAAGTGATGTCAGTGATGTTCTTAGGATTGGGGAAAGAACCCAGAGGACAACAGTAGGACAGCAAAGGGTGGCGTACTGGCGTCACAATTATTAAAGCCCAAACCGAGAGCTCACCTCAACGTGATCTCTGCAGAACTCCAGGCCGATGTCTCCCAGGACCTTCTTGACATTTTTCCTTGCTTTTCGTAGACTGGTCAGGTTATTGACAGGGAGCTGGAACATTCTGCCTGCCTGAATAGAGAAACATACGGTGCACCATCAGCGGGGGCACTTCAACACGGGGGTTTGAAAGTAGAGTTTGCTCACAAGTACCATTTCTGTACTTGACTACATTTGTTGTAGCTGAAAGGAAAACTGTCTGAACAAAAGGTCTTTCAGACCCACAACCAGCTACTCAGCTGAGCTTGCTTTTAGCATTCAGATTCAGAAAGGTTTGTTTTGAAAAAATAACCCATAATTATAAACTCATCATTTTCACCTTAGTGACAAGGGTCGCTTTAGCAGAAAAGGCCTTTTCACACGAGATTACCAAAGACGATCTTCACCTTTTGATCTTTTGGTCACAAGGACACTTTGGTAAAAAAAACTTTGATTAAATAGAAGCGTTGCTTTGTGAAAACAGAAAAACCACAGCTTATTAATGCCGCTCTGAACTCTCAGCATCCCATAACTGCTGCTGGTCCACTATTTTCTGCTGACCCGTGTGTGGCCTTACACGCCGCCGTCACTACAATGAAAAACAATCAGTATTGATAAATGCCAAACCAGTGGTGTCAGCAGCTTTATCCATCATTTCCAACCAGTTGAAAACAAAACACGGGCTTTCCCCTGACCAAGCTTTTGCACCGTGCCCCACATCCTACCTGGACGGCACACTTCTCCATCTCCACCACCGGACCTCTCTAGCCGAGACATGTGCACTTAGAAACAGCGTTTGCCCAACAGATTTAGATTTCATTTGGATAAAAAAATCTAATAATGCCAACAACTTCACAGACTGACTAGAGGGAGCAGAGACATTCTCAAAAGTACAACATGTTCAGTAGGGCTGCACAAATATCGAAAAATTATCGTCATCGGGATAACAGGACGTGCGATAGGCCCATCGCAAAGCACGTCAAAAATGGCGATAAATGTTTGGTTCAACATTTCCATCCGTGTCATACATCACCTTTTTGTAAACCAGCTCTGTTTTTTTACGCTGAATTATTATTTGACCAATCAAATGGAGCCCTTCTGATATGCGGCCAATCAGATAGGTCCGTTTACGTAATACGCCCGCCCCCTACTTAGACCTTAGGATGGAAAGCAACACCCGAACTGAGTCAGAGGCGCCGTTCCCTTGTTCGTCATGCTGGCTCAGAGCAACAAACACACTTTGTGCTGAGGTTTCTGGAATCAGCGCTGCTTTCAAACGTGAACGTGAGTTCGCTCGGTGTCGTTAAGCAGCTGATAATAACCGGGCTGACTCCGACACGTGCCGGTGAACCAACCCACCTTCACGTCGCTAGTGTTCCACCGGGTGGTGATGTTAGCCCCAGGCTCCGGTTAGCTTCCAGCTAAAAGGCTACAGCACTCTCCTCCCAGTCCCACCCAGCTAAAGAGGGCCTGGAAAAGTTCCCCCACACATCAAAGTGATTTTTCATTTATGAGCTTTTATAACCTTGTTAATCAGGATAGTTGATTTGCTGCTGCACATAAACTGCCAGTCAGAAGCTCTGCTAGCCGGTTATCTTAGAGGAGCTAGCTCAGTTTGTTAGCTTGTTATCAGAATCATAGTTGCAGTTTCATCATCTGAGCTGCTTGTAGCTTAAAGCACACGTAAAGACCACCCGCAACAGCTACCAGGTAGTGCCAGTGTATAGGGCACTGGCGCTACACTTCACTGCTTTTTAAGATCTAGGTAAACTTGTTCAATTTGGGGTTAAAAACAAACGTTTTCAAATATTTTCCATGTAGATTCTTGCCAGTTCCTCTTCTGAAAGGTAGACAATTGTTTTTCTCTTTCCCTCAGAAAATCTTAATATTCTCCTAGTTTGGCCCAGCACAGTTCACTTCCCAATTACAGCAACAGCCTTATATCATAACCACATAAGTGGAGAAAATGCTCAGTAGCAATGAGAATTTGCTGTTGCATTTAAGTGATGTTAACTATTATTTAACATTTAAACTTATTTTCTAATATCTTTATTTATTCCAAAAACCCTGGTAAGGAACGTTTTTCTGTATTTGGAGCATCAGAAAAAGTTTTATAGTGGAGGTGATGTTTTAAAGTCACTGAGAAACTGCATGCATGCAGTTTGTTGTTTTGCTGCTAATACAGTAGCAGGTGCAGCTGCTAATACAGTAGCAGGTGCAGCTGCTAATACAGTAGCTGGTGCAGCTGCTAATGCAGTAGCGGGTGCAGCTGCTAATGCAGTAGCGGGTGGAGCTGCTAATACAGTAGCGGGTGCAGCTGCTAATACAGTAGCAGGTGCAGCTGCTAATACAGTAGCAGGTGCAGCTGCTAATACAGTAGCGGGTGCAGCTGCTAATACAGTAGCGGGTGGAGCTGCTAATACAGTAGCGGGTGGAGCTGCTAATGCAGTAGCGGGTGGAGCTGCTAATACAGTAGCGGGTGCAGCTGCTAATACAGTAGCGGGTGCAGCTGCTAATACAGTAGCGGGTGCAGCTGCTAATACAGTAGCGGGTGCAGCTGCTAATACAGTAGCGGGTGCAGCTGCTAATACAGTAGCGGGTGCAGCTGCTAATACAGTAGCGGGTGCAGCTAATACAGTAGCAGGTGCAGCTGCTAATACAGTAGCTGGTGCAGCTGCTAATACAGTAGCGGGTGCAGCTGCTAATACAGTAGCGGGTGCAGCTAATACAGTAGTGGGTGCAGCTGCTAATACAGTAGCGGGTGCAGCTGCTAATACAGTAGCGGGTGCAGCTGCTAATACAGTAGCGGGTGCAGCTAATACAGTAGCGGGTGCAGCTGCTAATACAGTAGCAGGTGCAGCTGCTAATACAGTAGCGGGTGCAGCTGCTAATACAGTAGCGGGTGCAGCTGCTAATACAGTAGCGGGTGCAGCTGCTAATACAGTAGCGGGTGCAGCTGCTAATACAGTAGCGGGTGCAGCTGCTAATACAGTAGCGGGTGCAGCTGCTAATACAGTAGCGGGTGCAGCTAATACAGTAGCGGGTGCAGCTGCTAATACAGTAGCAGGTGCAGCTGCTAATACAGTAGCGGGTGCAGCTGCTAATACAGTAGCGGGTGCAGCTGCTAATACAGTAGCGGGTGCAGCTGCTAATACAGTAGCGGGTGCAGCTGCTAATACAGTAGCGGGTGCAGCTGCTAATACAGTAGCGGGTGCAGCTGCTAATACAGTAGCGGGTGCAGCTGCTAATACAGTAGCAGGTGCAGCTGCTAATACAGTAGCAGGTGCAGCTGCTAATACAGTAGCGGGTGCAGCTGCTAATACAGTAGCAGGTGCAGCTGCTAATACAGCAGCAGGTGCAGCTGCATAGTTTTGCAATAAAAATGTTATGTTGTAATGGAATTCATGCATTAGTTTTTGTTTGCTTTGAACCCAGAGCAGACGTCACACGCCAGACGACATCAACACTGCATACTTTAGTATTTGTTCATTTATCGTGAGTAATATCGATATCGCAATATTAAGCACGGTTATCGAATATCGCAGGTTTTCCTAATATCGTGCAGCCCTAATGTAAAGTATTTGTTGTACATTAAATCTCAACCGTGATGACTGACTTTTGTTCCTACTAAGAGAAAAAAAAATTGGTATGGACCAGAAAGTTCAAGTCCAACAACAGCTGATCCAATCAATGGAATCAACGTCTTTTATGAGTTCTGCTGGAACAGGCCAACAGCCAAACAAACCATTTTAAATGAAACTTTGTTGGGGCTCACAATGACCCAAGAGCCCTGATAAATGACCAGCCACACCCCCTTAATGAAGCCCTACAACAGGAAGACCAAGCAGAGCACTGATTGGTCAGTTGACCTTGATGTCTCAATGATGCTACATCATCTGGATAATTCTATAAGCATTCAGGGGTAGTCTGGATAACCCCAGTCCACCCTAGAACGTTACGCCTGGATGTCTTCCTCACGTTCAACAAGGATGTTAGCAGTAGTTCGGGCTAGTGTTGTTGTGTGGTTAGCATTCTAACTACCAACATTTGTAAACTGCTGACGTTGAGGTGGGTTGGGACATGCAAGTTTCAGTTGGTTTGTCTATGACTATTGATCGTTACATAAAAAGCAGGTCGGAGACGGCACAGACTTTAGGAATGGTGCATCCAATCCCCCTAGCTCCCAATGTTCAACAAGATCAACTCTAGGATGCTTTAACATCTGTATAAATGAGATTGTTAAATTTGCCAGACTCAGCTAAATGTTTTAGTTCTATTGCTCAAGAAACAAGCTCTGTTCAAATCAAAGCTTCATGCAGGAAGGTCAAAGGTCACTGGTACACTAGGACAACAATCTACATTTCCAACAATTCCTGTTAACATCTCAGCTCGTTACCCCTTGAGGAATCTGAGGAAATGAGATATAGATGCTTTTGTGGGTCCATCACCTGCCTGGCTGACCCACCTGCATCCTAAAAGTCAACGACCCACCTCTCCCCTACCTGCCTTTCTCCTGCTTCCCTCCCTTTCTTGTAGATGGTGCAGCAGAGGACTCCCATTATGTAAGCCTCCCTACGTTCTGCCTGGCCCCTTTTCTCCCAGCCTTGCAACACCATCACAGAATGGCGCCTCCTATTGAGTAAGCAGCAGCCCCTACAATATGTCTGCAGCAGAGGGGGAGGGGAGTGGAGGAGAGAGTGATGTTGGAAGGGAGAGGAAGAGGAGGGAGAGAAGGAGTGAGAGAAAGAAATCATGGGGGGGGGGGGGAGTGTGCATGGAGGAAGAGAAGGGGGAGTGAGCGGGTAAGTGTAGAAGGAGTGCAAGGGGAGAGATGGGGGGGGGGGTGAGCCAGGGAGGTAAGGGGAGGGGGGGGGGGGGGGAGGAGGCAGGGAGGTCAGGCACACAGAGAGGAGAGGGGAAGGGAGGACTGGGAGGCTGGAGGGACAGAAAATGGAAGAGGGTGAGAGAAAGAGAGGGCGATGCAGAGCAGGGGAGGGGAGAATAGATAGCCAGGGAGAGGCTGAGTAGGAGGGAAAGGAGGGAGAGAAGGAAGAGGACTGGGAGGAAATGCAGGAAGAGGCTGCTCTGCTGTGGCGATGGCTGCTGGCAGAGAACATGTTTCCCGTTCTGCAGTGGTGCTAAAGAGAAAGAAAAGAGGCCTTGAAATCTTTAAATGCTGCCGAATAATCCAACAGGATGTGATAACCAATGTTCTCAACCCTCATGTTTACCATTCCTCCACGTTTACTAAGAGGTCACACTTCTTGTGACATCCATGTTCGCTTTAATAGAAGAATAATAGTCTTAAATGCCTCTGATGAGGTTTCACCACACGGCTCAACACCTGTAAACGGTATTAAAGGTGACAGGATGTCTGAGGGTGACCATGGCAGCACTGCTCCCCTTTAGAGGCACACACCTGAACTCACCTGTCTAATCACAGACAACCAGGACTCCCTCATAAACACTTCCTCACAATCGGGTTCAAAACCAAACTGTTTACACTAATGTGGTCACTCTCCTACAATCCCATAATAACCACAGGACAGATCGGTCGCTGTAGCAACGAACAGAACAAACTGTGGACCATCAGTGGTGTTCGTGATGAGTTAAATATGCAAGACAGCTGACAGAATCCAGATAGTTAAAAGCAAAAAGCTGCTGCAACTGACAAAGGAGGGATGGTGGTGCCGCGCTGCGCTAACATGCTAAGCTAACACCCAACAACATGGGTTGAAACGAAAGCTGTCGCATTTTCTCTTGGTTCTTCAATAACATCACGATGCGTTTAATTTAAGAATGAAACTTGTTTACCACCCCGACACACTAACACTAGCCACCACCACCCATCCCGTCCCGCAGGTAGGCAGCGGCAAGCGGCCACCATCTGTGGACTCTCCCCGGCATTAGGACATCCAGGTTTACCTGCTTTTACATCCAGTGCTCCCGTCTGAATTAAATGTGTCACCTCAGGATGACCGAGGTCGAGTATTCACGCTCCCGCTTGCACGGATATGTCGGTAATTCCCTCCCAGGTGCCTTGTGGGGGAGAAGTCACCCGGGCCGTCGGTCTACCTTCCCAGCCCGACAGCCCCTCAGCGACGAGGGCTATCCGCTTTCCCGTGGTCGGAGAACGGAAAGAGAGAGCTTCGGCGGGCGATTAAAACCTCCGTTTCCTGGAGCGGTGAAGGTAGACACATGTCAACTACCGACGTACTTTACACTCTGGTGAATTAATTAATTCAACTCTGATCGTAATTCTCTAACAGCGGGTTCCTTTTTACCCGTTCTCTCCCGACAGACAATACACATCCAGCCAACCAACTGCCCTATCCAAAATGGCGCAAATCAAAGAAGCGGAAGTGACATATTCCTCATTAGCATAAATAATAAGACCAGGTCCTCGCTCTCATGATTGGTTTGCCAATCAGTTCGAATATTTAGGCAAACATCTGCTTAAAATAATAAATGCCTCCGTTGTCTTAAAGTTTGTGGACGGTATTGATTTCCTGTCTCTCTCTGCGGGGGTAAACAACCAGGCGCAGCAGTTACGTTTACGGTCCGGTAGCGGGCGTCCTGGTAGCTCCTCCCCTGCGGAGGCTCGGATGTGCACAGTGCCTCAGCACGCAGCTGGAGGCCGGGCCAACACTAGGTGGCGCTGTGATACCTCCATCCATTCAGCCGGGACTACTTTCCTGTAAGGTGGGACCGGACTCTGCATTTCTAGTTATTATAAAACCTCTTATTTGATGGTTACTGATGAACTTATTCTTCTAAAATGTTTTAATACAAGTGTCTAGGGTTTGTTTCCAATTAAATGAAAAATACAGACATCTTCTCACACAAAAACCCAGATTATGTTCTAAACTACAGCTTTTAGCATGTTTCCTTTAATAGCAGACGTGGATTCCCAAAGATCTTAGATCCTTTAAGTGTTTCTTCCTGGATAATCCAGACATGTCCGTGATATTTTTGGGTATTTGATGTATGCCGACATTAAAAGTCTTACAAGTTTATAAATGGAGTCAATTTCTAATTTTTGGATATGGCAGGTGTGATCAGTCTCAGGTTTCTGTTTCTTAAGTCAAGAGTTCATTTAAATTCGCATACAATTTCCATTGGATCAATTAAAAATAAACAAACAAGAGTCTACAATTAAAACGTGTTTATTTTTATGCATTTGCAAACTGTAATAATAAAGAATTCCAGAAACATTCTGCGATGGGATTGACAAGACTTGGGAATCACCATTTCTTCAGCATTCTGAAAACTACAGAAAAGAACATCTTCCACAGTTTTAACTGCTAACACCTTCCTTCTCCTGTGTTGTCCTGTCACCGTATGATCACAGAAAGTGGTGAACGTCTCTCTCTTGTTTTTAATTTGGTGAAACTTCTGTTTTAAAGACAAACTTGTGGAACGAGGAAAAAAAAAAAAGCTCCCAGAAGCTCTGAACATCGCTGATCACGTCGTGGCGAAGAGTGTGAGCAGTCCTTTCACAAATGACACGATCTCATTCCCTCCCAGTTTTGACTCTCCATAAACCCGATCCACAAAGGAAATAGGAACCTGCGAACGACGAGGAGAAAATAAACCTTAGTTTAATTTCAGCGGAAACGTTGAGAAGAACTCATACAAAGTACAAATATTCAAAGAACCCAACAGCGTGGTAGGTCAACACCTCTCCAATTGTGTAGTTGAGCTGTCTGGCTCGGACGATCATCTCCATCTGGAACACGTAACCTTTAGACACACACCGCTCCACCAGACTCTCCAGCACATTTTTCTTGTATAACCTTCCAAAAGCGTAGGGAAAAAAGCACAAAAGTGAGGAAACGGTTCAGTTTTCTAGTCAATGACGATTCAAACCTCTTGCATCAGTTACCTGAAGCTGCCCGTGAGGTCCGAAGCGCCGGGTCTCAACAAAACCTGAGTCAAAAAGTTAGCACCTCGACTAAGACACAGGAGAGAAAAACAAATCTCGTTTTCATCGAGCGTAGGAGAGCGGACACTGGTGACCAAGTTCTGCTCACTGGCCGTTACCTGATGAGTTTCCTGCACAGGTCCCAGCCGTAGACACCTCCATTGCCCTGATAGCGAGTACCAGACACAAGGTCATAACCACCTTCCTTCTGCTTTCTGTGAATGAAATATGATACTTTAACTAAAACATGCTAGAATAATCCGACTCGTCACACATAGATGAAAGTTACCCTGATAATCAGAAATGTTGTGAGTCTTTAACATAAAAAACAATTAGATACTTACTCAATAAATTCAGGAATAAACTTGGGCTGAAATAAAATAAAGACGAATAAAATACACAGCAGTGCAACAAAATAAATAAATAAATAAATACTCAATTGGACTTTACTAGCCATTTGTGTTTTTCCAGACAAGATACTCAAAAGATGTCTTGTTTCTAAGATATTTTATACATCAAATACACTCGTGCATCGACTCACGTGATGGGAAAGATCTGCATCCATGATGATGATGAAGTTCCCAGTGGCATGCTTCATGCCATGGATGTAGGCTGTGCCTTTAAAACATGAAGGGATGATTACATCCACTGGTAATGTTTATAAAGGAAATGCAATAATTTTACCAACTTACCAAGGCCTAATTTTTTCTCCCTTGGTCGCAGAACCTGAAAAATTAGAAGGATTTAACAATTAATGACTGTTGATTATCACTGTAAAGTTTTGTGATAAAAAAAAAACAAACAAATTACTTTTTAATTATTTTACACAGTATATGTGGTGCAACTTTAATGTGAATTTATCTTGTTCATGCTGAGAGATCAGTCTTAACTTACTATTTTGTCCTTTCCGTAAATTTTCTGCAACTGCTCTGCAACCTCCAGTGTCCCATCTGGGCTTCCGTCATCAATGATAATAATCTCATAGTCATATCCACTGTGAGAAATAAGCATTACTATCATGCCGACAGAGATTACTGTAAATCAATCTTTAGACATATAAAAAACTATTTCACTTAAAATGACAAAAATTATTTTTCATTTATCAATTTATTAATTCATTTATTAAAAACATTAAATATAATTTCACAAACGTTTTAGGAATGTAATCACAAGTGATGAATCCGTTCAAGTTACCTTTTAAAGACGCAATTAACTGTTACACACACATATACATATATATATATACATATATATGCATGTATGTAAATATATATATGTAATATATATACACATACATATACATGTATATATATATACATGCATGCATATATATACATGCATGCATATATATACATGCATGTATATATATATATATATATATATATATATATATATATATATATATATATATATATATATACATGCATGCATATATATATATATATATATATATATATATATATATATATATATATATATATATATATATATGTGTGTGTGTGTGTGTGTGTGTGTGTGTACAATTATTCTTTATATTTATTTCAGGATAAGTAAATCCAGGTCTTAGTTTTCACCTACATTTATAATGAAAGAAAAAATACTGGAAATCGTCGGTTTCTGCAGTATTATAAAACGAATAAAAACTCAGAACAAAATTTAAAATGCGTCTTAGAAGGCAACTACTAAATTAACAGTATAATCCAGATTTAATGTGTCTCTACTACCAAATCAGCGTCGATGACACAAGTGACAACTCATCGCTAGCAGACGCTAACAAGAGTTATCATTAGCCACGCATCTTTGCACGCTTAAAAAAACTCACCCTTCTCCGAAATATTTCAACAAAAGCCACACTATCAGAGGCAGGTTTTCTCTTTCGTTGTACGTGGGTAATAATACAGAGTATTTGTCCCGGCTCTCTCGCTTTGGTTGCGAAGATTTTCGACTAGCCATAGCAGACGCGAAAGCTCAAAATACTATAAGCTAGTTGAGAAGTTAAAAGAAGTGCTGTACAATTTCCTGTTGTCGTATTTCAAAATAAAGGTCAGTTTGAATTTCGTCCTGTCGGAAGACCCCCCCACCACCACCACCACCACCCACACACACACAACTTACATTGTCATTCTAGTTTTGCAAAAAGTAAGCAACTGTACTTGGCTCAGTGGTAATACTACATTTCAATATTTATATAATATATATATATTAATAATGTCTAAATCAAGTAACTAGTTAACCAGAGGAATACTTGGGCTGTACAAATAAATTATTATAGATCAATGAAAAAGTGTTTTTCACTCATGTACTTGAACACTTTCTGGGTATGTGGAAGGACAGTATTCTTCGGGATTACGTTTGTCATAAAATGCGAACGTTTACGCTGAAATTAGTCTTGAACATCGCCTTGGTTTATTTGAACTTCCTGTTGTACTTTCCAAAATAAACACACCTAGAAACCAATTCCTCCATCATGGTTCCGACAACAGTTTTCAGCGCGGTCACTTACCTTGAAAACGTCTTTAAATAAATAAATAAACCATAAGAAATACACAGAAAAATGTAAACAACACAATAAATATAGTGATGTTCCAAAAGACTAACACACAACGAATTCATAAACATTTTATTTAAAAATACACAAAAACACTGGAGATGACGTGACATTTTTACTCTCAACACATATGCCAACACCAAGAAACCACAAAATTGTAAACAGAAATAACTACTTGGAATACATAGTAGATAGTATATAACAATAAAATGGATATGCAAAATAATAAATATAAACTATACAAAACAAAATTCTCACAGTATCATTTATACCATGGAATAAAAAGAACATTTTACACCATGGAATACACTTATTCTTTATCTTTGAGGCAGTTTAGGTTAAAATGCAAATAAAATTCATAAAAGACACAAAAGGCTTGACTTTTTCCTTAATACAGTGCATAAACATAACAAAGTATACATACACGATTTCAGTGCTAGATTGTTAAACAATAAGGTACTTTACTGATCCCTCTGGGAACAGCATTTTTGTTTTGATCAATACCAAAAGCTGTACTTAATACAAAAACATTTCTGGACTTAAAATCCTGTCTTTGGAGTTTTAAAACAAAAAGGACACAAACCAAGATTCCCCTTATGGTTGAACAGTTTTTAAGGTAAAGTTTCTGCATCATCCAAGGGTTAGTTCAAGATGATGAAGGTCTCCAGTGGTCACTTTTGCAGATGTAATCTCTGTTTAGTTCTGCTCTAAAGGACCACCAGTGTCTCATGGTGTCACTGCTGCCTGCTTGTTTTCTCCAGGGCTGGTGGCCATAATGTGGATCTTCTGGATAAGAACAGTACACACACGCGTGCGTGCATGCATGAAAACATTTACCAATACTAGAACTCAAGACTCTCCATATGGGAGAGGATTAGAGTCACTGAAAAGAAAAAAAGTCTTAGCATTCTGACTTTTTTCTCTAAAATCTGAATTTGATTAATAAAAAGACATAATTGTGAGATGAAAGACACTTGGTTTGACTTACATCTTTTAAACTATTTAAATCAAACATCTTTATTTAATTTTTGATTAATGATTGGTCAAATTAAACGTCACTTAATTGTCAGAACTCTTAGAAAAGTCCGTTATGAGAAATAAGTCGTAATTCTCGCTCCCTCTTTTTTTCCTCTTCCATACTGTTCAGGTAAAAAGGAGAAAAATGACTTTCAAGCTCATAAACCAAAACCTGGCATCAGAAAAAGCCCCAAAACACCAAAAAGTAGATTCTTTCTTTGTCAGCTGAAGATCATCTGTGAATTTAGGGCTAAAACAACTGACTGTGTTTGTGATGTTTTACACAATAAGGCAAAAAGTGACCGACCTTCATCAGTGGTTTCTAACAGAGACGCTTAAGAGCCTTACAGAGAAGCATCATCACTTGCTGCTCTGGTTTGAAAGAACCACAGAACAGCTTCAGATCTAGCATGAATGACACAACATGACCAGTGTAATATTCTCAGTCAAATCCTGACATGACTGGCACTCCAACATTATTTTTTACATCCATTAGGTCCTGTCTTACTGGGATTTCACTCAAGACCTCATTCTTCCTGGCCGTGTGTCATTAAAGGCTGCTTTCAGCAGCTAACCTGTTTACTGAGGAACGCTTTGACATCCACCACTGCTGTCACACACCCCCGGCGGTCCAATCTCGCCAGTTTGGCCCGAAAATCCCGGGATTCCTGGAGGTCCTGGATTTCCGTCATCTCCTTTAGACCCCGGGACACCCAACTTGGATTCCCCTGGGAGACCTGCAGACACGCATGGCGCACTAAAACTAGCCAAACATCTGATACTTTATTGGACGTCGGTGTGTTAAAGGGACTTTACTGACTTTTGAATTTTTATGCTCGCGATTGCCCCCTCAGGCCAAAAGCGTAACGGCAGCTTCAATAGTAGGCTCGTGCACGAGGCGCGCATGCTGTACGTGCACACTCCGTAACGAAAATAACAGCTGAGACAGTCCTGTGTGTGTGTGTGGCCCGGAGGACAGAGAACAGGAGTACGTGCAGCTAATTAATAAAATAATTTGGTTCTGTACCTTTCTCTTCAGCACAGCCGACAAAGATTTATGATGGGTCAGTCCTCCTGCATGCTCAGATAATTCCCTTCCCTTGCTTGAAAATTTGCTCCAAAATGAAAGTTGAACCGACATCTTTTTTATCTGTGAATTCAATGCCGTTCGGCGAGTCTCAAAAATTTGGGCATTTAAGAAACTCTAAATGAACTATGTCCACACCCAGAATCAAACCCGGGTCTTCCACATGAGAGTCAGACATCTTACAAGGTGAGCTACACTAGTAACATTCACAGTATCTGTAACATTTATATCCTTGATGACAGCTGAAACAACGTTCAAAGAACGGTTCGGAGTGAAAATGGCTATTTTGTTGCTAATTTGCAGGAAATATCTAGAAGAAAGTTCTACAGAAAGTAGCTAAGGGTCCTCAGAAATGTAGCTAGCTTTGTCACTAGGCGTTAGGAACAGCGACAAAGTGGCACTGCCTCTCTCTCTGCTGCTAAAGCTACGGATAGCAAATGCTACGGGCGATGCCTGAGCGTGAACGCGCATGAAGCAGCCTGCTCGACCCGAGCATCTCTCTTTTTCTGTGATTTTACAGAAAAACAGGCAATCACAGTAAAAATGCCAGGGCTCATTCTACAGGACCAGGGCATTGCAGGAGAATGTATGAAGAAGATATTTATTATTTCTATACATGTTTTGGCTGTCAAACTTCCATAATGTCCCTTTAAATGAAACACATAGAGGTACCTGCAAATCCTTTGATCCCCGATGGTCCCTGGACATTGTTCCCAGGATCACCTTTCTCTCCCAGAGTACCCCTCCGTCCTGCAGAAACAGGAAGAACAAATAAACTTTCCCCATTCAGACACATCACATGTATAGTTTTCCTTTTGGCTAAAGGGGGCGCAACAGGTCAAGTTTTACTTTTACAACGCCTCACAATGGCAACGGCGGTTGCCCCAAAGCGCTGCGCGCAGAGCAGGTCCTGTCTAACGCGAGAGTCAGACGGCCAGACGTACACGCAGGCGAAGCCGCCATCTTTACTGCTTCAGGGACGCTTATTTTATGTCCACAGAGGAAAACAGGTCTGGAAAAAGTCCTGCGACATGAGATTAGAAGGACCTCTTGAACTTACAAAAACATTGTTTTCAAACAATTAAGTGATTAAAAATCAAATAATGAAGTTTAAAATTTAGGTTTGAGTTAAATAGTTTAAAACGTAAATCAAACCAAGTACGGCTAAATATTAATAAAAAGTGCACATAGAATTAAACGGCCTGTATTTGCATAGCACCTTCTAGGGTTCTATAACCCCCCAAAGCGCTTCACAACACCCACTCACACGCTGGTGGGGATGAGCTACGATGTAGCCACAGCTGCCCTGCTGCTGAGCACAGGCGCCACCGGTCCCTTCCACCAACGCCAGCTGACAAGCTGGGTTAAGTGTCTTGCCCAAGGACACGACGACTGAGACGGACTGAGCTGGACTCGATCCCGCAACCCGGGCACTCAACTCCTCTGCCACCGCCGTCCCAAAGATAAATAAGACAAGGTAAGTTGCATCTTCCTCATGTGGGGTCTCAGATGGCCAACTATCTCATTTGATGAAACTATTTTGGTTTCTAGAGGGCAAAATTTCAAATAAATGGACTAAAGTGCAGAAATCTCTTAATGCATCAGGATTTATTTAAATTTTTAAAACTCGAAGGCTAGCTTTATTCTCAAGGTTAAAAAAGTAAACTAAAATCCAATTAAAGACCTCGACCTAAACTTACCCTGCTCTCCTGGGTACCCTGGCCTCCCAGATCTCCCTCTAGAGCCGACGTTCCCCTGGTTACCTCTGGCACCCGGGGGGCCCCTGGGTCCTGGTATACCAGGTTCCCCCGGCTGCCCCACCGGCTCCTCAATAGGAACTGGTTTACGACTGATCTTATTAATATACATGTCAAGCTTCAACACTTCCTCTGGAATAAGAAAAAAAGAGTAAAATTTCAAATTTTTGCGTGATTAAAAAAAAGAAAGTCTGTTTTTCTGTGCTTGTGTTGAATAAACACTCACTGTGTATCATCTGCTCACAGGCCTGCGTGACCAGCTGATAGATCATGGCCACCGACTGAGGTTCCCCCTGCAAACACATTCACCAGATCTCAGAAACTAACTCATGACTTGGTTCTGAAATGAGTGAAGAACAAGAAACAAAAGAAAGAAACTAACAGATCATATAATAAACAGATTAAATAAAGTAAAATAACACATTTACATTTGAGGTTCTGGTCTAGGGGTGGAGCTCGATAAAAATATCTAATTACTGACGGGGGCCAGCTTCACAGAGCTCTGAGAGCTGACAGTCCCTTGTGTGTGTGTGTGAGTGTATGTGTGTGTGTGTGTGTGGCCCGGAGGACAGAGGACAGAACACGCAGCTAATTAATTAAATAATGTGGTTCTGTACCTTTCTCTTCAGATCAGCCGACAAAGGTTTATGATGGGTCAGTCCTCCTGCATGCTCAGACTATTCCCTTCCCTTGCTTGAAAAATTGTTCCAAAATGAAAGTTGAACCCACATCTTTTTTTATCTGTGAATTCAATGCCGTTCGGCGAGTCTCAAATAATACTTTGGGCATCTTACTGTAAAAAAAAATACCATTAATGTAAAAAAGAAACTCTAAAACAACCATGTTTGCATCCAGAATTGAACCCGGGTCTTCTGCACGAAAGCCCAAAATCTTACAAGGCGAGCTAAACCACCAGTGGTGTCTGCAGTATCTGTAACATTTATATCAGGTCGCACTCAGTTCATTACTATCAAATCCTCCCTCTCACAGCCCTCTTCTGTCTCTTCTGGTGTGCCCCAGGGCTCTGTCCTGGGGCCCCTCCTTTTCATTATATACATCCTTCCCCTTGGCAATATCTTCCGCAGATTCAATATTCATTTTCACTGCTTCGCGGATGACACCCAGCTCTATTTGTCCAGTAAGCCAAATTCTGCACTTCCTCCCTCATCACCTGCCTTCAAGAAATAAAATCCTGGTTCAGTTCGAACTTCCTGAAATTAAATACAGACAAAACAGAACTTCTTTTGGTTGGTACCACGAACACCCTCTCAAAATTTGACAGTTTCTCTCTCACAGTTGATAATGCCTCAGTTTCCCCCTCTCCCCAGGTCAAGAGTCTGGGTGTCATCCTGGACAGCACACTATCCTTCCAATCTCATATCAATAGCATCACACGGTCAGCTTATTTCCATCTTCGTAACATTAATCGTCTTCGCCCCTCCCTTGATGTCCACTCTACTTCTATTCTTGTCCAAAGTCTGGTTACATCACGTATCGATTATTGCAACTCTCTTCTGTCAGGCCTCCCTCAGAAAACCCTCCGTAAGCTCCAGTTGGTTCAGAATGCAGCAGCACGCATCGTCACTAAAACTCCCATCTCTCATCACATCACCCCCATCCTCAAACAACTCCATTGGCTTCCAGTGCACACCAGGATTAACTACAAGATTCTCCTTCTCACCTTCAAGGCCATCCATAACCTCGCCCCTCACTACCTCACAGATCTCGTTCACATCGTCACCTCGTCCCGTTCCCTCAGGTCCTCCTCCTCCATTCATCTCTCTGTGCCCCCCTTCCGTCTCAGCACCATGGGGAGTAGAGCCTTCAGCTGCACCGCTCCCAAACTCTGGAACTCCCTTCCCCCTCTCATCAAGAACATTAACTCATTCACAGAATTCAAAAAACAACTCAAAACTCACCTCTTCATAACCCCATATCAGCTTTGAATTTTAGAGTGCCTTGTTTGTGTATGTTTACGTATGTTTACTTACTGAATGATTTGTTTTTATTCTGTACAGTGTCCTTGAGTGACCAGAAAGGCGCTTTTAAATAAGATGTATTATTATTATTATTTACTTGATCACAGCTGAAACAACGTTCAATGAACGGTTCGGAGGGCGATGCCTGAGCGTGAACGCGCATGAAGCAGCCTGCTCGACCCGAGCATCTCTCTTTTTCTGTGATTTTACAGAAAAACAGGCAATCACAGTAAAAATGCCAGGGCTCATTCTACAGGACCAGGGCATTGAAGGAGAATGTATGAAGAAGACATTTATTATTTCTATTCATGTTTTGGCTGTCAGACTTCCATAATGTCCCTTTAACAGTGATGGGAATAACGCCATTTAAAATAACGGCGTTACTAACGGCGTTCTTTTTTTGGGTAACGGAATAATCTAATTAATTACTTTTCCCACTGTTGCAACGCCGTTACCGCCACTGGGGACGGAAGGTTGTGCGTTACTATGTGCTTGTGGAACGTTCAGCAACAGTGTGAGGCTTTCTGACCGCCACACTTCAGCTGCAGCCAGGGAGCGAGAGGTGTCGGTAACGCGATGATGATTGGCCGGGTGGGCGGAGACCCTCACTGTCTCAGTTACTGCCTGCTGTAGACCCAACAGAGCAGCGATGGGAATAACGCCGTTTAAAATAACCACGTTACTAAAAAAAATATTTCTTTCTGTAACGAGCAAACTAATTAATTACCGTCTTCTTTTAACAAAACATTGTTTCTGTTGCTGAAAAGGAAATGCGTGCGTTAAGCAGCGCGGTGTGTTGAAGCTGTCATCAGCTGATCAGGAGCTAAAGAGGCAGACGTTTTCATCCAAGCGCATCACGGCCGTGAAGAACGAGGAAGACGTGATGAATAGTCTACGGCTGCAGGTGCGGGTCTGCAGCCGTGCCCTTCTTAGCGTGACAGCGGGACGTCCCGAAGGTCCGCTCACCTGTTCACCGTTCAGACGTCCTGATCTTCTGCCTTCCTAGATCATCCAGCTGTAACCTGTTTCTGATCATGTCTTTAGTCCCGCTGTAACACTGATGCATCAGTCTCAGACGTCATGGAGCTCAGGTGTTATTAGAACTACCTGTGTGTGTTTACCACCCAGCTTCAGCTCTTCTGTGTTTGGGTCTGACCCAAGTTAGTAAATGTAAGCCCTCCATCAGGCTTGTGCCTCTTCTGGTGTCATTTTAAAGGATTTTATTTATTTATTTAACCGTTACTAGATTACCAGCAACAGAAATGCTGCTAAAAACATACCATTATGTGAAGCTGGAAAAATTAAAATACTATACAAAATTACATTAATTTCTGTAATTTAACTAGACTGAGAGACCATTTAAAGGCTCGGGAACCTTTACAGGTGTTTTCATTTGCAATTTTAAATTTTAGCTGATTGGGGTCTTGTTAAATATCACACAGTGACCTTTTAATAGTCTAGATAAGTGTAATGTTCCTGTTAGTAGTTCCTCTTGTTAAGTGCTTATTTATTTAAATTATTCAGGTTTATAAAAAACATTTGGACACACATTTTATTATGTTCCAGTCATTAGTCATTCATATTTAACTATTGTAGTAATTTATAGTAAATTAAGTAAGTTCAATTAACCCATTTTTCTTGCATTCTTTAATGAAAAAAGTAACTAAGTAGTTATTTTTCTTGGTAATTAGTTACTTTTACAATCTTGTAACTCAGTTAGTAACTGAGTTACTTTTTGACAAAGTATTTAGTAACTATGACTAATTACTTTTTAAAAGTAACTTTCCCAACACTGTTTATTAATCACATTTTAATCACAATTTTTTAATTAAATAATTTTAGTTAGGTACAGATCACATACCTCACTTTAATATTTCTGGAAACACAAGGTCCATTTGATTACTTTGGTCTCATAATAAAGGTAACCACTATGGGATTTGTTGGGATGTGTAAATGTTAGCGTACGTGTTACTGGTGAAGTGTAAACGGACATGGAACATCATAAATGTTGTGTACTGAACTGAACACTAGGTGGCAGCAGAGAGGTGTAGTGTAGAGTTCAGGGGATGTTCTGCTGAAGTTACAAGATGAAGGCCGTGCGTGCTTCTCCATCCTGCTGGAATATTGTTCATGTGGATAAAGTTACTGCTCGCTGTTTACCAACTGCAAAACCCTAGGGTAAAAAAGTGGATTTTTCTTTGTCTTCATGAATAGAGACTTGTCGTGATTCATTTAATTGTGTTTTTCGTTGTATTGCAACACGTAAAATGGTTTATATAGTCCTGTAGCCCAGGCTCTGAAGTTTTGTTTTTGAGGTGCAGCTTGATGATATTAAAGTCATCATCACACGCTGGTAAAATTACATCTCCGCGTTTGACCCATCCCCGTTGGGAGCGGTGAGCTGTAGCAGTGGCTGAGCTCGGGAAGTATTTGGCAGTTCAACCCCCCCAATCCAACCCCTTAAAGCTGAGTGTCAAGCGAGGAGTCCCATTTTGTAAATATTTGATGTGACCCAACCGGGATTTGAACCATGATCTCCGTCTCAGGACGGACACATATTTGTTACTATTTAGGGCATGAATTATGATGCTAAATATCCCCCCCACCCCTTGATTTGGGGACATCATAGACTCATGTGGTAATTTTGACCTAATTAATAATCATATTAGTGCAAGCATGCTGTACTGCAGATGGATCCTGCATCCTTCAGCATCATCAACTGCTGCTACACCTCAGCCCTGATGGGTTTCTGAACCCAAGCAAGTAAACTGAATGGTTCAGACCTTAAATCTCTAGTTAATAGTGAACAAGAACTCACCTTTTCACCCCGATCCCCTTTGTTCCCCGGTAGACCCTGAGAAGTGATATGTCTATATTAGAAAACCAAAAGGGAGGACAGACTGAACTGCTGCTGAAGCATTTGTCCCTCAGTTCTCACCGTAGGTCCAGCAAGCCCCGAGGGGCCCCTTTCTCCCATCGGCCCTGGGTGTCCTGGAATTCCTTGGAAACCCTGCATGGAAACACTTTTTAACAGGTTTAAGAGAGGAGCTCTTATAGACTCTACCATGTTAACCTGAAAACACATTTCTGTCTGTTTTAAAACAACAACAAGTTTTTAGATCTTTAAGCTTTAACATTGATCTAATTGATTATTGAGTTAGAAATTTGATCGTAACAGTTTTTTAAAGGAGCAGGTAGGTGGGTTATAGGGAGTGGGCTCGCTTTGCCTGGTTTACGGCTGTTAGCTGTTATGCTAGCAGTTAGCTTTTTAAGTTTGCTGATCATCAATAAAAAGCAAAAGAAGACGAAAAAGAAGAAGCTTGCTTTTCTGTTAGCATCATGGCAGAGCTTGGAAGTAAAAGTAAGAGAGTAATGTCTTTGGAGCTGAAGCAAAGAGCTAAAACTAGAGTGAACATCGGTGCAGCCTACACTAGTTTGAGGGAGCTAAAAGAAGATACAAAATCACAGACTGATGGTGACCTGGCTTTGTTGCTACCGGACTTTTAAGTAATAATAATTTTTGTCCAACACTGTGGATCTTTTTACTTTGTGGTCTATTTTAGTATTAGCTGGCTCACATTAGCTCGTTGTTAGCGCTAGTCCGCAAAATACGGTAAATATGTATATACATACATATATATATGTATATACATGTATGTATATATATGAGTATTTATATATATGTACATGTATATATATGTATAAACATATATATATATGTATATATATATATATATATATATATATATATATATATATATATATATATATGTATATATATATATATATGTATAATTACATATGGGATATATATTTACATACATACATACAAACATATATATGTATGTATGTATGTATGTATGTATGTATGTATGTATATATATATATATATATATATATATATATATATATAATGCATGTTAAGTAGGGAGGTTATTGGGGACTTTTTGGACCAAAGTAAATAAATCAAATATGTTTCAAATCCCAATCTTGAAAATGTAATACAACTTTTTGTCCAGAAGGTGGCAAGAGAGTAAAGCTGATGTATAAACAACAGGGAAAGAGGCAGAAATATAAATTTGGGTTTAATGAATCCAGATTTTTCTAATAAAGGTGGGAAATGTTGTAATCTTTTTAATACTTCTAAAATAATTAAATGTGAGCAAAACCCCAGACTGGGTCTTACCCTGGGTCCGGAGGTACCGGGGGACCCGATGTTGCCCTCCACACCTCTGATACCCTGTGAAGCAGAGAAAGATGAGGATTGAAACGGAGCTCAGGAGAAACTGAAACTCTGAGATTCAACAGCTGACCTGAGGTCCTGGGATCCCCTCCTCCCCCTTCTGACCTTGAGGTCCTGGTAACCCCTGCACGAGAACACAAAAACAATGAATCAAGAATAATCAGAGGACGAAGCTCTGATGAAGAGGTACTCACTTGTACCCCCGGTCGCCCTGGATCTCCTCTTTCTCCTCTGGCTCCAGGTGGACCCTGATTCAGACAAGGACAAAGTGTGATTTGGTATCACAAATGGTGGCAGTTACAGTTACTGTTGACAGGTGGAAGTGTAACTCACCACTTTGCCCTGAACTGTTATCCCTCGAGGTCCTACGCTCCCTACGGCTCCAAGACCCCCCTCAAACCCAGACTTCCCTGGGGGGCCCACCTCTCCCTGAGAAAATCCACATGAGAATGTCATTTATGGGGTGCATTGCTGTGCACGTCGTCATGATGTTTCAAACGTTCATTTAGTGATAGCAGATGCAGATTTGAGTGGAAAAACATCTGAAAAGTCCCGTTTAAAATGCTCGGCTCCTCTCTATTCACAAAAGTCATGTTTAGTTAGAAATACGGTTACGGGGAACACAGAAGGCTTTACACTTCCTGTAGGAGACATGTAAATGTTAACTGATGTGTTTTTGGTGGGTTTATTTGTTGTAAACGGAGATCAATGTCAGGTCAGGTGATCATGGGTGGGGATTAACATCCTCTCCTGCACCTGCTCAGATTTTATGGGGAAAGGAGGAGTGGGTCAGCGGGTTGCCGCATATTTTTGTTGACAGTCAATTGATCGCTGTGATAATTGTACGGTCTGATTTTGAGCACGCTATGTTTCGAGATAATTGGAGTTACTTTAATAAAGTTTTTGGAAGCGCAGCTGATGTTTCAAAAGAGCGCATCACGCAGTGACAGCGCCGGGGGGGGGGGGGGGGGGGGGGGCTATAGCTACCCCTGGATTAGCCATTGCACCCCCATAGCACCCCCAAGTAAATATTAGATTTTTTTTTTTTTTTTTACAATTTAATTTTAATTTAACGTGTGGATTTGATAATATTTAACATACAAAACAAAAATAATCAGTAAATTATCATATGGATAGTCATCGTCTTCCTCCGCTTATCCGGGTCCGGGTCGCGGGGGCAACATCCCAACTCGGAAGCTCCAGACCGTCCTCTCCCCGGCCACCTCCACCAGCTCCTCCGGCAGGACCCCAAGGCGTTCCCGGACCAGACTGGAGATGTAACCTTTCCAACGTGTCCTGGGTCGACCCGGGGGCCTCCTGCTGGCAGGACATGCCCGAAACACCTCCCCAGGGAGGCGTCCAGGAGGCATCCTGACCAGATGCCCAAACCACCTCAACTGGCTCCTTTTGATCCGGAGGAGCAGCAGTTCTACTCCGAGTCCCTCCCGAATGTCCGAGCTCCTCACCCTGTCTCTAAGGCTGAGCCCGGCCACCCTACGGAGGAAACTCATTTCAGCCGCTTGTATCCGTGATCTCGTTCTTTCGGTCATTACCCAAAGCTCATGACCATAGGTGAGGATTGGGACGTAGATCGACCGGTAAATCGAGAGCCTGGCTTCCTGGCTCAGCTCCCTCTTCACCACGACAGATCGGCTCAGCGTCCGCATCACTGCAGACGCCGAACCAATCCGCCTGTCGATCTCCCGATCCCTCCTACCCTCACTCGTGAACAAGACCCCGAGATACTTAAACTCCTCCACTTGAGGTAGGACCTCTCCCCCGACCCGGAGTTGGCAAGCCACCCTTTTCCGGTCGAGAACCATGGTCTCAGATTTGGAGGTGCTGATCCTCATAGATGATCATATAGATAGTAAAAACTTAAACCAAAACAGGGAATTGATGTTAACCTTTGACCTCATTTTCCACCTGTGAACGAGTGAAAGGTAGAGCTAGTGGTAAAATGGATCGGTTTTTGTTGCCCAAATTTCCACGGGTTCAGTCAGAAACGAATGAATCTTTGGAAGTGATCTCAGACCCACTAAAACCTACGGATCTGGATGAAGAGAGTCAACCCTCAACCGCCGCAGCAGTCGAGGGTTTTGCCGCTAGAAATGCTAACACTAACGTTAGCTAATCTTGCAACACTATTGGTGGTTTTCTGTGTGGCTGTGTGTGTTTATGATTTCATGGAAAAGTCAGCGATTGTTCATACGTTTATGATGTATATTAATGATTGTTTCAGGTGTTGTTGAGGTGCTGTGCACGCATTTATCTGCTAGTGTTGAAGGTGTTTTAGAGAACTATAGGTACGCATGACCACTTCCTTCATAGCACCCTCAATAAAAAGACTGGCTCCTTCATAGCACCTGCAGAAAAACATTTCTGGAGCCGCCACTGGCATCACGCGGCCAACTCAGCCTCTCAAGCGGCTTTTAGTTTGCCTCTGAAGTCACGGAAATAATTCCAGTTAGCACAAAACTGCTAAAAGTACTCAAGGATCCTTTTTCTACACAACCAAAATGTTCCTTCAGATCTTCAGATGTGGAAAAAGCATCTGAACAAGTTTGTTTACCAGCTGCACATCTCTGCTGTTCCCACTCAACCCGTCTCCGTGTTTCATTATAAACCCTGAGTGTTGCTTTGAGAGGCAGATTCACAGTCATGGAAAAGGATGCTGCAGCGCTTTTTACAGAAAAACCAGAAGTGTCACAGGTGTTTGTGTGATGCGTTTTAATCAGCTGTTCTTCTGACGTTGGGTCAGGGAGGCAATGGAAATAAGGAAACGGGAACATTGGAACATGAACAGAGACGAGGGGGCCTATCAGCTGTTACGCACCTGTGATTCCCTTCTCCAAAGACCAGCCAGCGGAGGTGGGCGCGACCGACCCGACGGATCTGTCAGATCCAGGTTGGTCGCGCCCACCAGAAGAACAGCTGATAAACACGCGTCACACAAACACCTGTGACACTTCTGAAGAAGACCGCAGACGACGGTCGAAACATGTAAAGAGTAACTATGGCCTGTATTTGATATAGAGCCTTCTAGAGTCCTGGAACCCCCCAAGGCGCTTTACAACACAATCAATCATTCACCCATTCACACACTGGTGGGGATGAGCTACAATGTAGCCACAGCTGCCCTGGGGCGCACTGACAGAGGCGAGGCTGCCGAGCACTGGCGCCACCGGTCCCTCTGACCACCACCAGCAGGCAACGTGGGTTAAGTGTCTTGCCCAAGGACACAACGACAGCGACAGACTGAGCGGGACTCGAACCAGCAACCTTCTGATTACGGGGCGAGCACTTAACTCCTGTGCCACCGTCGCCCCAAACTAGACACACCTTCATGTCCGAAGCAAAAAGAACCTCGTTTAATATTTAAAAAGAGGACATAATGAACATTGTAAAGGATTTACAAGAAAGTTTTGGAGAAATTTGGTCAGATTAACTCATTCGCTGCCGGCGTTTCTCACCGTTTTTACTGTTTTTTTAAGTCACGGAACGTTGCGCGCTAGGATGATGTCGACGCCAAAACAACCAAAACAAAGCGGAGGCTCACCTCTTACATCAGGAAGAATCCGCGCGTTTCGAGCGTTATCCGTTCTTTCATAATCCGTTGTTGAATTGTGATCGGCAGAAGCTTTTCCGGTTCACGCCTCACTTTTTTTACAGCAGCGGCCCAAAACAATCTCCTAACACATGGATGTTCTGCTTCCTGATCATGAGACGTGTGACGAAGATCGGCTTTAGAGCTGAGATGTTTGTTCTCACGGTGCGGGGGCTCGTCCGACACCCACACAGTAAAAACATCATTGGCAGTGAATGAGTTAACATGTGCATCTGTGGATGCACATCCTCAGTTGGATGTCCACTTTGTTCAGGAACTTACCGTTTCTGCAGAACTTGAGCAGAAAAAGGTGGGACGCTCACTCCTGGTTGGGAATGAGTCTTTGCCCTAAGTGGAGGAGTTAAAGATTCTTGGTGGTGTCTTAAATGGACCGACCAAAGGAACGAGGGCATTTTTGCGCTTCGTCGTGGTAAAAATGCTGAGCCCAAAGGCAAAGTCCTCAATTTCCTGGTCTGTCTACGTCCGAACCCTCATTCCTAGACTTGAGATGTGGATCAAAAAAGAACGAGATCCTGGATATCAGCCGCTATAATGAGCTTCTTCCGTGTCCGTGCTAAGCCTCAGAGATAAGAGGTGATGTGAAAATGAAAGGTGCTATTAGAATGCACTCACTCTGTTTGACACCTCTAAGCTTGAAAGGAAATTAAAGACCAATTACCCCATCCCTGCTGTCCATTATTTGTTAATTTTCCAGGAAATTCAATCTTGAAAATAACGCCTCGTTAAACCGAAGCACAGCCATGTTCCTCTAACCTTTTGTCCCGTCTCTCCCTTCTCGCCCTTCTCTCCACGAGGACCTGGCCTCCCCTGAGGGAAAAGAAGACAAAAACACACATTTAACATTTTCACATCCCTGCATTTCTTTTAAGCGCTCAAATAAAATGACTTAAATTACATTAGCAATCAAACAGAATCATTAAAGTGTTATTAAAAAGCACTTTGGACATCAGGAAGGCTTAAGGGGACGCACAATTGGTCCGGTGGGCCCAGGAGCTCCTGGAATATCTGAAGAACAGGCACACGTGTAAGCAGGAGCGGGACAGCTCTCCTCGTCTCTCTGGAGCAGACACGATGAGAACATCACCACCGATTACAGCAGCATGAAGCATGAAGGGAATTTAAAAGGTGTGACCCACTGACCACTCCTGGAAGGTCGCAGCAGGTATCTTCTGAAGCCCACGTGGTGTTGCACACAATCTCAAAGGACTGCAGCTGGTACTGGAAAAAAATCACACATTTTACACAAACTGGCAGTAAAACCACCACCAGGTGTGTTTTGTTATAGAACCGTGTTGAAGTGGAAGAGTAAAAGTACCGGAGCGGATCCACTGTTGGGTCCTCGGGTCTTCACCAGCTTCCCCAGCATCTCAAAGCCGTCGGTCGGCGTGTTGCCGAGAGGACGAGCCGGCCGTTCCCCGACATGCTGACAGTCCACCGACAGGGACACGCTCACCTGGCTCACACACAGGTGGACCTGGAAGAGAAGAGATGAGGATGAAATGTTTTTAAGTCCAGGCTCAAGACCCGCCTGTTTAGGTTAGCTTTTATCTAATTATTTACTATAGTTTTATTTCTCGTTTCACACACTTTTTATTTTATTGCTTGCTTTGCATGTTTTATATGATTATATTTTAGCGCAGTTTCATTATTTAATATTATAATTTTTGTTTCTATATGATTTTATTTATTACAGCTCTTTTATTTTCATATTTTTACTCATTTTAATCCGGTGTTTTCTCTGTAGGGGCCCTCTGCCCCGGGGGCGGTGGTCGACTTGCTTCCTGGGCGCTCTACAGGTAGTGTTTAGGTGGAGGTGGGGGTCCATGCTCCCCCTCCTCTGATCGCCCTGACTTAGTGTGGAAGACCTGATGCTGCCGGGGCAGATGGCTCCTCTGATGGCGTTTCCTTGCCTTACCTTACTTGGCTCATCTGGACTCAGCCGAATATACATTTTTACTGGTGTGTGTGTGTGTGTTTGCATATGTCTGTCAATGCTTTTAAACTATTATGGGAATATTTGTCATTTTGTAAAGCACTTTGCTTGAAAAGCGCTTTATAAATAAAATCTGATTGATTGAAAAAGGGCACCACAGCTTCTTTCCATACAGGGACAGGAAGTTAGATTAATTTGCCCTTTTTGGGATTATGACCTGTCTTTGTTTGGCTCTGGTGAACTACCAAAACCAACAAGGTGAACTCTAACATGGGTCCGATAGTCAGTGGTGTCGAATCCTGATGAAAACTGCTGTTTCATCACCCGGCTGGATTTTTAAATTACTGCCAAACTGTAAACTTTCGGTTTTATCCAACAATGTGAGCCTAAACTAGCTTGCACGTGTTTTTTTTAAACCTATTTTACTTATTCATGTTTTAATCATCTGTTTTGGACCTTCTTGTGTCTGTAATAAAGTGACTGATTGTAAGGAAAAGCTTCATGAATGAATATCGCAGCAAAACATGAAGTAAACACTCACTTGTGTTTTGATTAACCACTGCAGGGCTGCAGAGTCAACTGGAGGGTAGCACTGAGCTGTTAGCATCTTTATGAGCACAGAATCTTCAATTAATTTACTTTACTGAGTCTACAGAACCAGGCCCATTAGTATGGGGCGCCAAGTGTAAATCGCTGGTGCAAATTATTTAGCAGACATTTTTTTAATATATTTAGCTCAGTTTTCCTACATTTAGCAACTTGTATCACATTTAAAAATATGTTTAAATATCACTTAATTTCAGCTAATCTAATGTTAAATCTAAACTTAAATTTTAATCTAAATCAGAATGTTAAACATAAATGTTAAATCTAAATGTAAATGTTCATTCTAAACCTATACATAAATGCTAAGTGCATATGTTAAATCTAAATCTATATCTTAAATCTAAATCTAAATATTAAATCTAAACCTAAATCTAAATATCAAATCTAAACGTAAATCCATCCATCCATTGTCTTAACCCGGTTGTCCATGTAGGGTAGCGGGGGGTCTGGTGCCTATTTCCAGCGGTCAATGGGCAATCAGGCGGGGTACACCCTGGACCGAGTGCCAGTTTATCACAAGGCAACACAGAGACACACAGGACAAACAATCATGCACACACACACTCACACCTAAGGACAATTTAGACAGACCAATCAACCTAACAGTCATGTTTTTGGACTGTGGGAGGAAGCCGGAGTACCCGGAGAGAAACCACGCATGCACAGGGAGAACATGCACACTCCATGCAGAAAGATCCCAGGCCGGGAAGCGAACCCAGGACCTGCAAGGCAACAGCTATAACCACTGCGCAGCCATCTAAATCTAAATCTGTGAGTTAAATCTTACTATTATATGCAAATTAGCCATGTGTGACCATGCCCACAACACAGGTTGGCCAATTGCGCTCATTTTCACTCCACTTTCTTTTGCGCTGGACACTGGCTGTACTGCTCTAGTCTTCAATGAGCATCTTAGCAAAGGTAATAGCACATTTTGCTACCAGTTTTAAGACACTTGTTGAGTAAACTACTTGTTTTGATTGTGTTGTCAATTATTTCTCTGCTAGGATCGTGTAATAGAACGTAATAACCAGTCACAACTGAAGAAGACAGACATGGCTACCAGCTTGCTTCAGGCAGGAGAAATTGAACATGCCCTCATGGCAGGTTTCCAAGCAGCTCTTCAGAGCATGCTTTCCCCTGCATCGCACCCCGCAGCAATGACGGTAGGTATTCTGGTGGTTTTCCACTTGGTTAGCTAATTTAAGTGGAAGTGTTCATACACTATAAAGTTGCCATGAACCTAGCTAAGCTAACTAGCTAACAACTGTGTTGCATAAGCCTGTTTCAAAAACCAATCACGCCACTTTCTCGCAAAGCTGAGCCGGCTTCAGGGAGCATCTTCATGAGTGGCCAAATGTGGCACGCGATCATGTGTTTTTCACTAAACAATTATCTCAGGCCAGGTCCCATTTAACATTTAGGTTTAACATTTAGATTTAGATTTAACATTTAGATTTAACCTTTAGATTTAGATTTAACATTTATATTTAACATTTAGATTTAGATTTAACATTTACATTTAAAATTTACCTTTAGATTTGATATTTAGATTTAGATTTAACATTTAGATTTAGATTTAACATTTACATTTAACGTTTACCTTTAGATTTGATATTTAGATTTAGATTTAGATTTAACATTTATATTTAACATTTAACTTTAGATTTAACATTTAGATTTAGATTTAACATTTAGATTTAACGTTTACCTTTAGATTTGATATTTAGATTTAGATTTAACATTTAACTTTAGATTTGATATTTAGATTTAGGTTTGGATTTAACATTTATATTTAACATTTAACTTTAGATTTGATATTTAGATTTAGATTTAACATTTATATTTAACATTTAACTTTAGATTTGATATTTAGATTTAGGTTTGGATTTAACATTTATATTGAACATTTAACTTTAGATTTGATATTTAGATTTAGGTTTAGATTTAACATTTATATTTAACATTTAACTTTAGATTTAACATTTACATTTAACGTTTACCTTTAGATTTGATATTTAGATTTAGATTTAGATTTAACATTTATATTTAACATTTAACTTTAGATTTAACATTTAGATTTAGATTTAACATTTACATTTAACGTTTACCTTTAGATTTGATATTTAGATTTAGATTTAGATTTAACATTTATATTTAACATTTAACTTTAGATTTGATATTTAGATTTAGGTTTGGATTTAACATTTATATTTAACATTTAACTTTAGATTTGATATTTAGATTTAGGTTTGGATTTAACATTTACAATTAGATTTAACATTTACACTTGACATTTATATTTAGGTTTAGATTTAACATTTAGTTTTAGATTTAAGATATAGATTTAGATTTAACATTTACACGTAGCATTTCCATTTAGATTTAGACATGACACTTAGATTTAGATTCAACATTTACATTTGGCATTTAGATTTAGATTCAACATATGCACTTAGCATTTATATATAGGGTTAGAATGAGCATTTACATTTAGATTTAACATTTATGTTTAGATTTAACATTTAGATTAGCTGAAATTAAGTGATATTTAAACATATTTTTAAATGTGATAAAAGTTGCTAAATGTAGGAAAACTGCGCTAAATATAAAAAAAAGTCTGCTAAATAATTTACACCACCGATTTACACTTGGCGCCCCATACATTAGGTTAATGGTGTCATGTCAATAACGTAGAAACAAATAAACTCCTGTTGAATCGAGACGTTCAAAGTAAAGAGCAAAAGGCTTCACAGGAAAAGGAAAACGGGAGTTTAGTAGTAGAAGAAAATATCATTTCTATAGCGCCTCTCAAGATAAAAATCACAAGGCGCTTCACAAAAACAAAAAATGTAAAAATATAAAAAAGAATTTAGAAAATGATTAAAATATATTTAAAATGAGCAAAAATAGACAATTGTGATTAAAAAATGTAAAGAAAGAGAGAGAGTGAACAGGAAAGAGGGAAATCAGTGGATCCTGAGGAAGGTGGAATAGGTGGGGAGAGCAGAATAAAGAGAGAGAGGTGAAGAAGGTCATACAAAAGCCAGCTTGAACAAGTGAGTCTTCAGCTGCTTTTTAAAGGAGACCACTGAGTCCACTGATCTCAGGCTCAGGGGGAGAGAGGTCCAGAGTCTGGGGGCCACAGCAGCAGATGATCTGTCACCTTTGACCTTTAGCCTGGTGCTGCACAACCAGTAGGCTTTGATCACTGGACCTCAGGGACCTGCTGGGGGTGTAGGGAGTAAGAAGATCACCAATGTAAGATGGTGCATGTCCATGTAAGGCCCTATAGACCAGAACCAGGATCTTGAAATGAACCCTGAAGTTGACTGGCAGCCAGTGAAGCTGGAGGAGAAGCGGGGTGATGTGGGTGTGTTTGGAGGACTTGGTCAGAAGCCGAGCACAGGCATTCTGAACCACCTGTAGACGGTTCAGGGAGGTTCTGCTCAGACACGTGAAAAGAGAGTTACAGTAGTCTAAGCGTGAGGAGATGAAGGTGTGGAGAACAGTCTCAAGTTCAGAACGGGACAGAATGGGACTCAGCTTAGCAACGTTCCTGAGATGGAAGAAGGAAGAGCCAACAAGAGAACTGACATGAGAATCCAGGGTGAGAGCTGGGTCAAAGGTCACACCAAGATTCCTGACAGAAGGTTTGGTGTGAGAAGCAAGCTGACCAAGAGAGTCTCTGACTTTGGGAACCAGCTTGTCTGGGGCACAGATGAGGATCTCAGTCTTATCTTCATTCAGCTGAAGAAAGCTCCCACCATCCAGGTTTTGATAGAGTCTAAGCAGGTGTGTAACAGCTGCAGCTTAGACATCTCATGGGGCTTAAAGGAGATGTACAGTTGAATGTCATCTGCATAAAGATGGTAGGAGATTCCTTTGAAGGAGCTCAGGATGTGCTCCTAGAGATGTCACATCTCTACAATAAAATAAGACGTTCAGTAAAGTTTTAGTTCAGGGTTTGGACCTTAAAACCAAAAAGAGCCCTAAAGGTCAGAAAGGAACACTCAAATATCCACAATTTGTCACCTGTTAAAATAAATACTTATTTAAGTTTTTGTTTTAAGCTGAAAAACCACAAACAAACAATCAAAAATAACAATTTGGGACGTTAATTTTGACACGAGCATCAAAAACACTCAGAAATTCCTCCAAACAGCAGAAAGACAACAACCTGGAAACGACTTCCAGTTAGAATGGACACAGTTGTGTTAAAAAACTCTTTTAACCATTTTGAACTCAATGCAAAAACATTTTTACTTTCTTCTGTTTGACACATTCCCAGTCCATGTTAACTTTCAGTCTGCAGAATTCAAAAGACGGAGGAGAAATTTGATTTAAGTCGTGGACTCGCAGAAACCGAGTCTCACCTTGTGAAAGCTGCCGTAGAACAGCTTGTGGACCTGCGGCTGATCAAACGTCAGCTCCTGAACCTCCCCTCTGTAGTCCAGACTGAAGTACAGCAGATGTTTGGTGGAAGCTGTGAAACACAAAAACTTATTTTTCCTCTTTTTCCAACCTGGACACAAGGCTTTTGTTTAATTACTTAGATGTTAGAGACAAAAAATTGCCAGAAAATATGGAAATTGTTTTATAATCACATTGTTCCTTATGTCAAAACTGCAAATAAATTGACACATTCAAGTGTTTGCTGCAATTATGGCACAAACTGTCTGAATGATATTTTAGGTTTTTTTACTAACGTTTTCTCATTTTACTCATCGTTTCATCACCCTCATCTCTTCTTTGTAGTGTTAGTCTTAAATCAGTCAAAGCCTGGTTTCCTAGGTAACCATTCTCCTCACATTTCTTGTATTTCTTGAACACTCAGAAACAAAATCGAGAAGAATTCCAGTCGCCTGTTCAAAATTCCAGCTGCACGAGAACTTTTAAAGAAGCGGTAAGAACGTGTTTTTGGCTGCGTTCATGCATTTTCCTGCCTCAGCTGCAAATTTTCTGAGTTTATGGAAGGGCCTGCAAAAGCCTCGTTGGAAGCTAAGTGTGTCATCAGGCCCAGCTCCTCCCCGTGAAGCTAGTCTCTGATCTGGAACCCGCCTCCTCTGGAAGCAGGTCACTAATGTCCACTTTCTCCTAGTTGCGGGCAAAGAGTGTTGAGGATGTGACCTTCGTGTCACGACTGACTGCTTTAAACCTCCACCGGTACCAGAGTGGATATGGTGACAAATTACTTCGGCATTGGGAACAGAACACTGCCTTGAAAACCATGCGTCCTGTCTGCTAACACACACGTAATGGCGATCTAAGGATATGTGTGTTAAGCCTGAGTCATGCTTCTCCGTCAGCTCCAAAAGGGAGAGACACGCACGGGCGAACGGAAACATTTTGCCCTCATACTTCTCCGTCTCCTGGGGAATGCTGCACAGCAATTCCCCACCAGGTCAACAGAGAGCGTAGTGCTGTTCTGTGGTATCCTGTCATGTATCGGTCCAAGATAGTGTTGTTGAGGGTATGCCCTCGTGAGAAACTGCTGCAGTAATTTCTCCAAAAAACTGTGTAATCTGCACTTTGAAAAAGCAGATAATAAGTTCAAGCAAAGAGAGACTTCATTTCCCATGGGTCTTTGCACACGGAAGCAATGTGATGACGTCACCGCCAAGGCGGAGCACGGGTTCACAGCAGTCTCAGCCCGCGAACCGCCAGAGTCTATAAAAGGGAGACAAAAGTGAAACTTATTCTCTTTGTATCCAGCTTCAGCTGGTGTTGAAGAAGAGATACGCTCGCCTTTTGCCTTCGGACTCGTGGGCGCCGACCGAGCTGCTTGGATTCAATGGAGAGTGCCATCTAAACCGTTTGAACAACGAGGGACATCTGACTTCGCTCAGAGAAGTTTTGCTCCTGCAAGTTTTTATTTTTAATTTATACTTTTATCTTTTCCGTTTCTTCTAGACCAAAATAAGCAATAAAACCACGCTATTGCTTCAAAATACCAACGGCTTTTTCTCTATCTCCGGACCAAAAACGCCACCCGGATTACCGTGAAGTAAGGTCGTTTCTATCTTGGTCAGCAAAATTAATATCTTTAAATAGTTTTCAGCTGTGGCCAGGCTGTTAAACTATCAGACATTAATTTACGAGTGGTCTTTTGTTGTTCATCAATGTTTTGTTAACTTGTGAAACGGTTTAAGTTCAGTTTTACTGTGAATTTTAAGTCACTAACTGTTTGGGAAGTTTGAAGAAACTTTGCACACTCAGTCTCCCTGTGGAATCCGAGAGGGGAGGGAAAAGTCCCCCCTTTTACACACACACACACACACACACACACACACACACACACACACACACACACACACACACACACACACACACACACACACACACACACACACACACACACACACACACACACACACACACACACACACCTACTCTCAGCAGAACAAAGAACCCCTTCATACAGACTCCATTTTGGACATTATCACACAAACACACCTTGAACATCATTTTGAAAACACACACCTCTTCAATTATATCAAATTGTTTTACATTATTATCCCATTGTTTAATTAAATGTTATTCAATTCAGTTTAGCCTCAAATCACTTTTGTCTGTGTCGGCTGAAAATTTCTGCTCCTAAAGGATTTACGAACTTTAAACAGACTGATAATAATTTTGGATTCATTTCCCTTTCTAATCAGAGTGGGTGGTGCCCCGAAGATATCTAAGAATATCTTAATTAATTAACAAATCAGTAAATATTCCCATATTTACAGAATTTATTGAAGAATCCAAAAGTAAG